CGGTGTGGCGAAGGGGATAGAGCGTCAGCCTGCAGACTGAAAGGTCCCGGGTTCAATTCCGGTCAGGGGCGAAGCATGTACCTTGGTTGCGGGCACATCCCCAGTGGGGGGTGTGCAGGAGGCAGCTGATCGATGTTTCTCTCATCAATGTTTCTAATTCTCTCTCCCTCTCCCTCCCTCTCTGTGAAAAATCAATAAAATATCTATTTTTAAAGAAGAGTGGAGGCGGCACAGGAATGTGGAGTCCGTGCATCCATGCTGAGGTCAGTGATGGCGATGAACAGTGAGGAGGCCAGGACGTTGCAGTGCCTCCATTAGTCACCAGGTGGCGCCCCATCATGCCAAGCAGAGGCTTCCCAGAAAGGCCAGAGGGGTTTCCGGGAAGATCACAGCCATGGACCGAGTGTGCGATCCTGCAGAGGAGCCGGCCTGTGCGAACCAGGGTTCTCCCGGGGAAACGGAAGCAACAGGACACGGACAGAAAGAGAATTACCGTGAAGAGCTGGCTCTCGCACTGCGGAGGCTGCAAGCCCAGGATCTAGGTGGACCTGCAGGCCGGAGGCCCAGGACCCCGCTGGTGCAGATGAGGTCCAGCCCAGGCCGGTTCGGTCAGTGGACAGAGCACTGGCCTGCGGCCCAAAGGGCAATAGCACGGACAGGAGGCAATCCATATGTTCCCCTCCCACATCGCTATTTCTTTCCCTCTCTAAAAACCAGTGGGAAAATATCCTCAGGTGAGGACTTTCACTTACAAAGCATTTCAGTGGAGAGGAGGGAGTAAGTGGGAAGACTGAGCCAAACACTGCGAGTCAGAGGTAGCCGAGAGCTGGCCCAGCTGCACGGATTGGCCGTGTTTACATTCCGTGTCCAGGGACACGCTGGCTGGTTTGGAGGAAGTCTCCCGAGTTCCTGCCATTGTCCCCGCCTGGTCCAGCCTCCCAGGGGGGGGCTCAGCGGTTCCATACCGGGAGGCACACTGGGGGTAGCTGCGAACTGGCCTTCTTTCGTCATTCCTCATTATTCCTCCGATGCTGTTCTCTGGAGAAACCTTACATCTGTGTTTCTGCATCGGCAGTTCCATAAAAGGCCTTTGTTTAAAGCTAAATCGGCCCATTGGTTGTGGATCCATAAAAACTCCCAGGAACAGAAGACACCCCGTCATGTAAGATGCACAGGGCTGGGGGGGGGGGGGGGAGTCAAGCCCCGTCTCAGCCACCGGATGAGCTCTCAGCCCCTTTCCGGTTAGTGGTGGGGGGCAGTTCCAGCTCCAGCAGGCCTTGGACAGACTTGAGGATCCCCCCCCATTTCAAGTTCAAAAGCAATAATTGTGCTTTTAAAAACAGGACCATGCTGGGCCTGGCCCAGCACCAGCCTTGCAGGGCACAGCTGAGCTGGCAGGGAGCGCGCAGAGCTCCCGGTCCCCAGGAGCGGCTGGCAGCTCAGGTCCACCCCCACCTCTCGGGAGCCGCCACAGGTCGTGAAGGCAGCCTGGACCTGGGTAAAGCGAGTCACCCACCGGCCTGCAGGCACAGGCACCTGCTGGCTGAGGGCTGCGAATCAACAGCAAACAAGGCCAACAGGGAAGATGGCCATGATGTGAAGGGAACCCTCATGCACTTTTTAAAAATTGATTTCAGAGAGGGAGAGATCAACGAGAGACCATCATTGATCAGCTGCCTCCTGCACGCCCCACACCGGGGACAGAGCCCACAGCCTGGGCATGCGTCCTGACGGAGAATTGAACCGTGACCTCCTGGCTCATTGGTCAATGCTTAACCACTGCGCCACACCGGCCAGGCAGCCCTCATGGGTTTTCAGGGGGACGTGAATCTGCCAGCCAGCCTGGGAAACAGCAGGAGGCTCCTCAGAAACAGAATGACTGTGAGAGCCAGCGATTCCACCCAGGATCCGCCTAAAGGAAACGGCGTCACCCCAGGTGCCTGCCCCGTGTTCCCTGCAGCATTCACAGGAGCCAAGCGCCGAGGCCACCGCACAGGACGGTGTCAGACGGGCAGGGCTGGAGCGCGTGGCGAAGGAGCAGGAGGGAGGTCAGAGGGGATGCAGTTAATGGCCGCACACCCGACATGTGAGAGTCAGTCTTTATTCCCCCACAAACACAAGGTCACGGTGAGGCGACATGTTAATTAGACTGAAGTGGTCATCATTTCATCACGTATATGTACATCAAAACATCACATTTACATCTTACATACATACAGGTGTTATTTGCAGATAGTACCTCCACGAAGCCGGGGTGGGTGAGCCTGAACCTGCCCTCTGACATGCAGCGCCAGGCAGGGGCGGTAAACTGCAGGAGGAGCCAGTGAGTTACCCCGGGCCGCCCGAGCCCGAGCCCCAGCCCAAGCCCCAGCCCCAGCCCCAGCCCCTCCTTCCCCCATCTCTGTGCTGCTGCCTGAGTCCCGCCTGCAGGAGGCTGCCAAGGAGGCTTCTGAAGCCACTGTGCCCCCCGGGAAGGGCAGAAACTGCTGGAGCCGGGAGAGCCAGCCTCTGCGAGGACCAGAGCTGCCCTCCTCCCGGGAGAACAGAGCAACTGCAGGTCCTGTTAGCAAAACTGACTAACCGCACGCCATGTGGACACGCCTCCCTCCGGCCCCAAGCCCCAGCTCCTTTTCAGTATGACATCAAAACACAGGACCCCTTCTCACAATCAGTGGAAATCCAACAGGACTTAGGGCGCCCACAAGGCCTCCTGGGCTTTTCTAGAACACACTGCAGCCTTTAAAAGGTGAAAAAAACAAAAAACAAACAAAAAAAACCCCATACAGTATCTATTATAGTGATCTAGAAACCTAAAAAGGGGGAGAAAAGCATCTGCTTCACCCCGAAACACAAAGTGGAGGCAGGTTGGAAACCCCTGATAGGTCCTGTCACGCGTTCCCTATCACCATGGAGCATCCGTGTCACACTGGTCACACGGCCCCACACCAGCAGCACCTCCCCACGCCGAGGGTGGGAAGCCATCACTGCAGACCCTCCTGCCCAGAGGCCAGCACCCTCAGAGGCTGTGACCCAGAGACACGCGGGCACGACTGCGCCACCCAATCCAGAATCCACTTCTGCAAAGAAGCACCGAGCCAACGCGTTCTGCGAACCCTTTAACAGTCACGTGCACGGGTGAGCACAGCAACCGTCACAGAAAGAACACGTCACATGCTGCCTACAGGATACACCAGTGATCTCAATCTCTTCAGTGACATTCCATTCACACCCTCTGGTCCAGCAGCCTCAACGGGGCCAGGGCAGGCACACTGCGTTGGGTCCACACAGGCTAAATGTGAGCGGAGTCCCGTTCTCGTGGGTCCGTCTCCTGCTCTTTCCCCTCCTGTGCTCCCTCCCTGACCCTATGCTGTCCTCTTCCCCCGGGCGGCCCCTTCTGAACACTCCTCTGGGCGGGAGGAGGAAGGTTGTTTCAAATCACTGACAACCTCCACCCCTGCTTTGGATTGGGTCTTATTAGTAAAACTGACTAACCAGCATGTTTGTACTGGTCACCCTTCCCCCCCAAAAAACATGCTGGGTTAAAAAAAAAAAAAAAAAAAAAGCAGTCTACAGGTTCAGGATCGCAGACCTGGGAGTCATTGGAGGCGAGTCACCCTAATTCTCAATTCACAGATGAGAAGGTGAAGTTCAGAGAGGCAACGTGACATGCCCAAGGCCGTGTGGCTCTGGCAGAAATTAGAAACACGTTCCAGACTCTTTTCCCCACCACAAAACTCAAGCTCAAGGTCCAGAAGGTTTGTCAGTAAAACAAGATAAATAGCCAGCACACATGGAAAGGTCTGGGATCTCCCCACACAGGTCCAGGCAGAATGTAGGCAGCCGCAAGTGTAAAACACTGCTCCGCCCCACACGCCAGACCCCGGGCTCAGGCTGGACCCGGGACCTGTGACTGCAGGTGATATCCCGAGTTCATTACCTCTGGGCTTTGCGAGTCTCCAGAAACAGGATCCACCTTATTCTCATCATCATAAGATAAACGATTCAGATGAAAGGATCGAGGAGGTACATTACGATTAAAGCAAAGGAACATTTTTACAAGTATATCATCTCAGTTTCCTTAAAGGTTAAGTTTCAGATTAATTTACAAGATTGGTGACAAAAGCACATGATTTCAGTGAAAACCAACACGTTACACTTTAAAAAAAAAATCTTCAGAAATACGAAGTCAGGCAAGCATGCAAGATTCAAAGAATAAAAAGTGCAAGGCTTGGCTGCTCCCCGGGAGAAGGCTGAATTTCATGAGGCTGCACACAGCGAAATGAATTGGAAGCGACGGGGACACTTCTCTGAATTGGCGTACCAGCCCCTCAGTCAGGAGAGTGAGAGGAAGCGACTGGCAGGCCCAGCAGCTAGATCAGGGTGCAGAGACTGAGGCCCGGTGCCTCCTGCAACCACGTGCACCTGCAGGGAAGTACCCAGGGCACATCAGCCACCGACTTCACCCACACACTTCATGACGGGTACACACGGTGGGGGAGCTGATACAGCACCACAGCGCATCTCATGTATTTAAGGGATTAAATGCGAAGAAATCATCTCAAAGATTTTAATACCCAGCTGTGATACACAACTGCATTTCCAGCCAAATGTTCTAGCTCAAAAAACGTGCCTTCTTCAGCCTTCCCCTACTTTTTTTTTTTTTTGCCTTTCAAAACTTTGTACTAGATATTTTGGGTGCACATTAATCTGATGTTGTGTCCATTTTAATTACATGTTTTAGGAATACGCAAAAATCCATGATATTTCGGTAACTCATAGTGTATTTATAAAATGAAAAGCTCTCTATCAAAATACACTCTTCACTGGGAAAAATAAATAAGAGACAGATGGATCTGCACAAAGTGAAAATCCACTCTGGCAGCTTTCCGTGTAGGACAGTCCACAGCAAGCACATTTGCCCTTTTCCCCCCAGAGCTGTTCATCCTCCAAGACACGACTTTAAAAATATTTTTAATGGAGATTATGTTGACATTTGTTTCTCATTCCACATCATCCTCAGCCAAGCTCTGAGCACTTACAATTCTCTGAAAAAAGAAAAACAGAATTTTAACTCTTACGAAGTATAAGCATTGAACCAGACTAAATTCAGCAAAAATGCCCTTTGAATTCAAAGAAATAAAAGTGGCTAAAGCTTACCCATTCTGAGATTTACTTCAACAGTGAACGCTTTATATCATCTAATGATGATGACAACTGTCAGTGTCATGACAAATTTCAAGTGAATAAAGGCGGCACACCATGCTATGGCAGCCGATTACATAACTGAAACCAAAATGTATTCAGATCTCTTTTTACTCCTACGTGCACTAAAAATACCCATTAGTGCTAAGAATACTGATCACCCCATGCTCCACACCTTTCCCTTTTTGGCCTGGAAATGTTCAAAATCCTTGCACAGTGCTCTCAAATTAGCATTTTGAAAGCATTTCCAGACGACAGGAGACAAATAACGGAGTAAAAAGTCCTCTTTATGGAGAGGAATTCGGGCTTCATCCTGCACTCATCCGTTCCCAAGGCATCACCCTCGGGTCAGTTTCCCCAAAGCTCTGTCCAGAGGGCCAGTGAGGAAGGCAGGGGATGAGATGCAGCCTGGGCTCACGCCATCTGAACAAAAGGCATGAAGACCACGTCCGTCGTGTCTCACCCTCGGCCCTCCCCGTGGGAACGTGTCTTTCCTCAGTCCCTCTCCAGTCTAGTGGAGTCAAGATCGGTCTGAAGATTACATTTTACTAACTTTCAATCTCCCCCAATGGGCACGAACACACGTGATGGCCATGCCATTCCGAAGAGCAGATGGACTGGCCCCTGGGGAAGGGTTAAAGTTAAAGCCAACAGAGCATGGATCCCGTTAGCACAAATGGCACTTAGCCCCGTGCCAGAGCTGAACAGTTCAAACCCAGAGCCCACCTGGCAGGAGCAAGGCACGAGTGAGGCCAGAGGGCTCCGGGGTCTCCACGCCCCACTTCCAGGCCCTGCCATCTTGGCTCCTCTGTTCCCTGCCAGCCACTGACCCGAAGGCAGGGTTTCACAGAGGAGCAGGCGGAGAACTAGTTTACCGAGGGGCTGAGTGGCCTGGATTCTGGGATTTGAACACGAGGCCTGAGACTTGACCTGAGACACACTTCCTGGCCCACATCTGGGCTGCGTCACTAGATCGCGGGCCAGCCAGCCGTCTGGATGCTGTTCCAGGAGGGAGGAGGATCTCAGGCACTGGTGTCTGGAGTTCGGTTTTCATTACACCACTTCCCTGGACCTTTTTAAATGCTAATGTCCCTACCTATTTCATTCCCAAATTCTACTTTATTTCACCCTGCCAGTCCTTACCTGGCTAATGGTTGGCAGCTTCGTCAGCAGCATCTGGAACACTGGTGGCGGGAGAGTTTGCTGTAACACCTGCAGCAGCTGCTGGGGCTGGCCGCACACGGCGATGGCGTTGGTCAGGTGGTCCACACCCTTCTCATATTCGCCTGGAAGAGTGTAACACAGAACCTGAACAGCCTCTGCCTTCGCCAGGAATGCAACTCTAAAGTCCGCACTGCATCGACCACTGAACCACCCTGGCCTGGCAAAAGCAGCCTCATTCCTAAGGCTTACTTACCTTCTTTCTGTCAAGTAAACTTAAAACTCACTCAAAATACCTCATGGGCAATGATAACGCACAAGAAACATTCATTTCTGCAGCCAGTCTCGAATAACACAATCCTCACGTTATGAAATGCCTAAAAGCTTGTCTTGAAATGTAGCCACGCACGGCCCGAGGACGGGGACGAGTTCTGAGAAACACATCGTTACTCAAGTCCATCTCTGCGAATTATCTCTGTGCGAACACGGGAATGCACTCACACCCCAATGGGACCGCCTCTACAGCGCCTCCTGTCGGGCAGCCCGCAGCAGGCTCCTGTGCTGACACCGATACTGTAGGCAACAGTGGTACCTGGGTCTCTAAACAAAGAGGCGCTGTAATCTTACACAGCGGGCAGCACAGGAGGGTGTGCAGGGGAGGAAAACCAACAAGCTTACCGACATGCATACCTCCCCCGTTCACCTGAGACCTGGAAACGGAGACCCTCCCAATGGGCCACAGCCGCCGCCGTGAACATACACGGCTCTGCAGCACCAGACGGAGACCGCGGCGATGGAAGCCAGGCAAGGGAGGCGACAGGAAAAGCAGCGACCGAGGGCACGATCGTTCCAGACGGAAACACTGAGAAGTTTCTAGAGATAAGGTCACCCCTTTCCCAGTACCGGGAGCGACATCCTAACAAACGCTTTCCACAAAGGGCAACTTCTATTCAGTTTTCTAGTCTTTTAAAGAAAAACAAACATCGCCCCCCCCCCCCCCCCCCCAAAATCTGTCCCCAATATAATCCCTTCTTTTCTTTTCTTACCAGCTCCCTGCTTTCCATCAAAATCTTCCAATCTGATCAACCCCGTGGAGGGAGTGCCCTCCTTGTAGCTGCTCAGTGGGCTGCTGCCCATTCACAAATCGCTTACTAGAGCCGCTGATGTTCAAGCTCACCGGCTGGGATTTGTTTCACAGGACTCTTACCTTGAGCTAGTAACTCTTCCCCCAGCTGTATTTCTTCAAGGAAGAATTTCTGAACAGCCTCAGCATCTTTAAGGTCAGGTAACTGTTTGGAAGGAGAATATTTAATAACACAACAAAATTATGCCCCAAAAAATTATACACAGAAAATCATACCATCAAAAATTGAATTTACTCAACAGCACCCGCAAAGATTAGTATCTACATAGACAGGAACGTAAAAAAAAAAAACCCACCAAAACAGCTTATTGATCAAATTGGTTTTTGAGTTTGAGTCAAATCTGAAGTAAAAAAAGGAACCCAAATATCACTACTGTGAAATATGCATATTATAATTTTTTATTGCCATTATAGACTTTATGTAATTGTAATCAATATATCTGAAATAGAGTTTTAAGTAATTATTTCTATAAAGTATATAATATAGGGGCGGGCAATTTACAGCTGTTCGAATGGAAAATACAATAATTAATTACTCAGTGATGAGAATGAAATGTGTTTTGTGTGCCCACCCGTGTCATCTAAGCAAGAGCCCGGCGGTCTTACCTTGGAGAGCCCAGCCCTCTCCTTGGCCAGCTTCTGTTTCTTCCTTCCTGCAAGAGAGAGATTCTCGTTACTGAGAAGAGAACCAGAGAAGTCTAAATGCGTGAGGGTCATTCAACACATTTCCAAAACATCTCAGCTCCGGGCTCTGCCTCCGGGCTCCTGTGACTGTCAGGGTCATGGGGACCGCTCTGCCCCGGCACCAGGGCCAGCCCTGACGAGGGGAGACAGCCCACCAGCGGTCTCCCTGGTAACTACCAGCAGAGCAAGCCTGCCCTCCCGCCCAGAGGACAGAACAGGACAGGAGGGAAGCCACTCCCGTGAGGGACTTTCGTTACTAAACAACCCCAGACCCTATGTCCTGAACGTTAGACACTGGCCGGCAGTCTTAAGAGGGGAGGGGGAAGAGAGAACCAGCATTTGAGTTTAAAATTGCCAATTAGCAATTCACCCACGTGACGGCGTGGGTGCAGAGGGAGCACAGGCTTGGTGTGCTCCTCGGTACGGTGGTGCCACAGGGCAGGCGGCAGTACCCTGGCAGCCCTCTCTTCCAGGTAAAACTGGCTGAGCACAGCACCTGGGTAGAGCTGAGATGACATGAGCATGTGTTAACGGTGCCTCATGTAGAACATGCCATAAAGCATGTTACTGACACAGTCCAATGCCACCCCTCAGCTAAGGAGTGCTCACTAAAACACCCCCAGGGACACGGGAGTGACCACGAGCCAGAGCTAAGAAAGCTAAGGCTCCCACACTCACTCCTGGGTGACCTCTGGCAAGCGAGTGAGCCTCTGACCTCTCCAGACAAGGCCACCTAACGTGGTCAGTGAGCCACAGCCGCGGTTACCCAGGTTACTACGGCCAGGGAGCCTCTTTCCCCTTACCAACTGGCTTACCCACACCGGTATGTCTTGCCAACCCTACAAAACAATTCTGGCGGTTTCACCGTAAAACAATTCTGACGGCACAGCCTAGGGCTGCAAGCAGAGGACTGAGACTAGAGGAGACGCGGGGATTTTAAGATAAAGCTGATATGAAGGAATGCCTGGGTGCTAAGGTGAGCACTTTGCAGGTTTTCGATGCTCCGTGCCATGACGCCATCTAAACATCACCACTTAGCTTATCCTTAACCCACACAGTAACCCCATTTTACAGAGAAAACTGACCTAGGTCACAACCAGGAAGTGGTGGGGGTGCTCAGAAGGCAGCATGAGACTTAGGCCCATCACTATCCCATTTTAGAGCGGCTTTTATGGGGCAGAGAGTGTATAGTTGTTGCTGAACGTTGAATACAGTTAACAACTTTAAAGGTTGCTTGGTTACTTTGAATTTTAGCACTAAGATAAAAAGGATTAAACTTCTGGATTTAGTTTCATAACACGATTTGTTACATTAACTTATTTCCAGATAGAGTACCAGACAGTATCTATGATGAAGGGACGGGACACATGGTAACAGACAGGCAAACCAGTTGGCAAAGTCAGACTGTGACTCAGTATTTGCTAGAAGTCAGTCCCACGGGCTGCACAGCAGCCCTAACAAGTAAAACAAACTCCGACCGAGCCACCTGGCCAGGGCACAATTAAGTACTTTTAATCAGAGTGTAAAACTACTGGCAATTAAAGCTTAAAAAATTCCTTTCTTAATGTTTTTACTGCTTTCAGACAGAAAGGCAGGGAAAGGGAGAGACACTGATGAGAGAAGCAGCCACGGGCTGCCTCCTGCACGCCCCCCACTTTAGATCCATGTCAAGCCTGCAACCCTGGACGCTCAACCAACCGAGCCCAACAGCTCAGGGCGTGAATTAAAGTTTTAATTGCTAAAGAAAATATAAAGTCAATTATATTCATAAACGGTCTTCAGCATTCACCGGTCACTACGTGCCAGAGACCACCCTAAACCCTACTGTCATTGTATCATTTTACAAAAGTGGAACTAAAACCTCAAGTCGGTTGCCCAAACTAATAATCCAAGCCTGGCCACTTACATGGAAATGGGATTTTGAAAAACAAACAAACAAAAAAACAAACAAAAGATTTCTCAGTCTGTCTAAAATGGGGGAGAGGGCAGTGGGGTACAACGGTGCATATGGAATACTTTCAGCAAGAAAGATGGGGCACTATTGCAGCTTCCCTGGGCCAGGAATGGTGGGGACACTTCAAACATCATCTCCTGCACACCAACCAGAGGCCTGACTTTACAAACTAAGAAAATGAAGATTCAGAAATCTCAAGGTTATGCCCATAGCCTGTGACTAACCTGGCCTGGGAACTGTCAAATCCAAAATAACCTTCTGTCAATGTAAGAAACAGCCAAGCAGCGTAGAGGATTTTTGTGCCTTTCCTTGAGTATGACAGCTAACAGGGAGCAAAAGCTCAACGGATGGAGACAATGCTCCAAAATGGCAGCTTTGTGACTCATTTTCTACATTTCAATCAAAAGCCTTCAGTGGGCTACATGAAATCCACTGGTGATAGGGTAGGGAGGCGGGAGAAAGCAAAGAGGGAAACCTGTGGGATTGGATAAAAAAATGATTGACACCTGTAGTTCTTTAATTCAGGTGAATACCGTTGGCTGGTTCACAGTTAACAATTCAGGAAATAAACAAGGGGATTTGTGGTCTCCGCTAGCTCTGAGGGGCCAGATAATAGGGAGATAACTTTGTTTTTGCGAAGGCCTGTTTATCAGGCTGTTATCTTGGATACAAAATGATGACAGGTTCAGCTAAGGTGGAGAATGACCTTTTTCAGGGGAAAAATATTGCCATGAATGGCTTTTTAAAGATACATATTTTTATTGATTTCAGAGAGGAAGGAAGAGGGATAGAAAGAAACATCAGTGATGAGAGAGAATCACTGATTGATTGGCTGCCTCCTGCAGACCCCCTAGTGGGGCCTGAGCCCTTGGAAAAGAATCCAACCAGGGACCCTTCATCTACCCACTGGGCCAAACCGGCTAGGGCCCCAGAAGGGGCTTTTGGCTAAAAAGTTTTCATTTCAGACCATCCTTTGCGGCTAGTTCAGGCCTGAGTTTGTAAGGCCACCACGCAGGCCTCCCTAAACCGGTCAGGTTTAGCCCGTGGCCCCGTTCCCTCCCCCATTCCTCCCACTCAACTCCCTAACCTTACATCAAACAAGTAACCTCTGCAACCCCTGCCCCCCTGCCATGCAGGCGTGGGAACCCGGTGTCCCGGTTTATGGGGTGACATCAGCGCGGCTCCCCCTCTCCCCCTCCCTCCTCCCCCGCGGGCACCGGCCCCACGTGGCCCCTGAGCACGTGAGAGGCTGAAAGGATGGTCCGGGGCGGGACAATCGCCGCTTTGTACTTTCGGGGCGGCCATCGCGTCAACATCATTTTAGCTTCCGGCACAACGGTCCGGGCGACCTAGATGACAGTTTCAAAAATATTCCTTATGCCAACAAACGTGCTCGCCTACGGTTGCAAAGGAGCGAGCCTGCCCTGCGAGATGCAAAGGCCGCGGCGGCTGGGGTGGCACCATTCTCCCTCCTCCTCCTCCTCCTCCAAGATGTCGCAGGTCTGAAATAGGGCCGAGCCACCGGGAGGCGCAGCCCTTTGGACTCCCCTGCGGTTCCTGTCGCATTCACTCATATCCCGGCGGCACCGAGAACGCAGCCGCCGAGAGGGTTTAAGAATGCAATGGGCGCCAGCCGGTGCGGCTCAGTGGATGGAGCGCCGGCCTGCGGACCGGAAGGGCCCCCGGGTTCGATGCCGGGCAAGGGCGTGTGCCTTGGTGGCGGGCGCATCCCCAGAAGGAGAGGCGTGCAGGAGGGAGCTGATGGAGGGTTCTAACTTCCTATGCCTCCTCCCTTCCTCTCTCGGTGAAAAAAACAATAAAAACACATTTAAAAAAATAAGTAAATAAAGAATGCAATGGCCCTTACCGCGTTGGGTTTGCAGAAATTCGTAAAATATGGGGGGGAGGGAGGCGGGAATGTGGTAACCCGCTCAGAGGGGGTGGGGGTGGGAGGAGATGAGCATCGACCCAGGAGCCAGGAGGCCTCGGCCCGGGGAGGTCGGGGCACAGGCCCGGGGTGCGGGCCCGGTCCCCAGGGTGCGGGCGTGCAGGAGGCAGCCGATCGATGCATGCTTCTCCCTCATGGACGGTTCTCTCCCTCTCCCTTCCTCTCTGAAGGCCGTACAAGCCTATTTGTTTTTTTTTTAAAAAGAGAAATCCAAGCACCATCCCAACACGCGCCGCCGAAATTATAATTCAAACGAGAGGGTGTGCGTACAAGAAAAAGGGGGGAGACAGAAAGGGAAAATCCAACATGGAGGGGCCAGGCCGGTGGCAGGGCCCGGAGCAGCCTGGGGGCGCGTGGCCCCCCGTCCCGGCGGCGGTTCGGGTCCCGGGAGGGTGGGAGGCGGGGGGAGAAGAGGGAGGGGAGGCGGCAGGACCCGGCGGGGGAAGGTGGGGGGTTGGGGGGGGGGACCCCACTCACGTTCTCGCAGCCGGTTCTTGAAGTTGGGGTCACTCCGTCTCTTGCGGTCAAAGTAGATGCAGTAGCCGATGAAGAGGGCCCCGCACACGCCGGCGGCGATGGCGCTGTTCCGGCCCACCATCTTCCCTCCACCGCAGGCGTGGAGGCGTCGGCGGCCGAGGGGGCCCCGGGAGGAGGAGGAGGCCGTTTGCCGCGAACTCCCTCCGAGCGGACGGCGCCGCTCAAACTGACGCCCGCCGCGAGGGGACGGGAGAGGCCTAGCGCGCCATTTCCGGCGCCCTCGCGCGAGGCCCTCGGGCTGCCCGCGGCGGTGCCTGAGAGGAAACCCCGAGGCTGCCCGCGGCGGTGCCTGAGCAGAGGCGCTTCCCCCGTGCCGCTTCTGCGCCTGCGCAGAAGGCTTAGGCAGTGACGTATGCGTGTGCGGTGAGGGACCGCGCACTTCCAGGGAAGCTCGCCGAGCCTGACGCCCTTGGGCGCGCGTGGCCGCCGCAGGTTGCTGCAGGCAGTGGCTTGCCTCTATTCTCTGTTGATGCAGGCAGCCTGTGACTCGTTTCAAGTTCAGCCACAAGCCGTCGTGCAACCAGCAACACAATCTCATGTCAGAACAATGTTGCAATATGGTATCATGCATGGAAGAAAATCCCGTGGATAGAGCTTAGGCCTGCAGACTGAAGGGTCCCGGGTTCGATTCCGGCCATGGGCACATGCCGGGCTTGTGGGCTCGATCCCCAGTAGCGGCGTGCAAGAGGCAGCCAATCAATGATTCTCTCTCATCATTGATGTTTCTATCCCTCTCCCTTCCTCTCTTAAATAAAAAAAGACGTATAAAAAAGAAAATCAAATGGAGCAATGGCTGGAACTGGTAAAAGATTCTGTATGTGGGTTAAAATTTAAGACAAAACTTTGGACAGAAAGGCAGGAAACAACTGCACGTTGCAGAGAGCTTGGGGAGGTGGAGTTGGCCTCTGCCAGGCTCCAGGGACAGAGAACTTGCCCCATATAATGGCGCAGACGCCTTATTTCCTTCCGTCTGGCCCTTTATTTCAACTTTTTTCTCCTTTGGCTCAAACTGGCCTCACCCAGTGCCCTGCCTCTACCCCCTCCATCTCCTCTGCTTAATCATTGAGCCCTCAGGACAGTGAAGTGTGGTCAGCATCTTAGGAACAAGGTCCTGGGTCTATTGAGTATTGAGACAAATTTCTCTATTTTATTTTAATTTATTGAAAGAGAGAGGAAACTGATTTGTGTCCCACTGATTTATGCATTCATTGGCTGATTAATGTGTGTGCCCCGACTGGGGATGGAACCCACACCCTCGTTGGAGGAGGAGGATCCTCTAACCAGGTCAGCAAACTGAGCCACGCGCCCTAAAACTAACTCATGGTAACTAACCTGCCTACAACTTACAAGAAATGCTTCACAGGTACTGTTACAATGCAAATAAACTGAAAACATTTCCATGTTCACATTCACCGCTCCAAAAATTCTGAAACTCAATACATGGTTTCACCACGTTTTATTGCCAGACTCAGTGGAAAAAGTAAAGCTTCAAGTTGCTATTTCTGATTTTTCTGCTTCTTCGTTTGTCCACTTTTCTTCTGTCCTTTCTTTTTCTTCTTGGTGAGAACAGCCTTTTCTCCAATAAATAAACTTTTAGAATGTCCTCCATTTTTGGAAGCAAAATTAAGTCCCTTCTTAGGTTTGCTGACATTCTTCAAACTGGGATTGGAGCTTTGTTTTAATTTGTCTTTATTAACAGAGCGCATGACTCTGAGTTTTCTTCCCATCAGTTCGGAATTATTTAGTTTCAGAGCAAGGTGAACAGCATCTTTATTCTGCAATACAAATCGATGTATTAATTTCAACCAGAAACTCATCTGCAAAGAAACTAGGCAAATCACAACTTGAACGGATTAGAGCGGATTGCACATGGAAAACCACTTCCATAGCCAGGGGTCCAGGCCCAGTGTCACTTTAAAAAATATATATATATTTTATTGTTTTTTTACAGAGAGGGACAGAGAGTCAGAAACATCGATGAGAGAGAAACATCAATCAGCTGCCTCCTGCATACTCCCCACTGGGGACGCGCCTGCAACCAAGGTACATGCCCCTGACCGAATCAAACCTGGGACCCTCCAATCCCCAGGCCGATGCTCCATCCACTGAGCCACACCAGTTTCGGCTGTGGTCTCCTTTTAATCATGCTCCTCACACGTTTCCCCAGGAAGCAGTGCAGCTGCCTTTCAGGTTATCAGATAAGTCACAGCTCAACAGGTTGCCCTGTTCTCACTGCCACTTCTGACCTGGCAGCAGGGTAGGCAGTCACAGGCCATCTTTACCACCCAAGGAACCTCCTTTGCACAAGGCTCTTCCTGCAAAAGCCTGGATGTAGCAGCTGACTCCACTATGGTGCCCGAGCTGCTGGACAAGATGCCTCATAGGGTTCCGTTGAGATCCCAAATCCTACCAATCTTTTATTCTAATACAGAGCTACTACATGCTAACAACCCTGAGTATATTCGAGATGTGTCTTAAAGAAACTGAGGAATTTATCAGGACACAGAAGAAAGGCTGAAACTGGTTTGGCTCAGTGGTAGAGCGTCGGCCTGCAGACTGAAAGGTCCCAGGTTCAATTCCGGTCAAGGGTGTGTACATTGGTTGCGGGCACATCCCCAGTAATAGGTGTGCAGGAGGCAGCTGATGGATGTTTCTCTCTCATCGATGTTTCTAACTCTCTATCCCTCTATCTTCCTCTGTAAAAAATCAATAAAATATGTTTAAAAAAAAAAAAAGGACATAGAAGACAGACCAACGGCAGAGAAGCAATAAGATAACCACAACACAGTACTGATGGGGGGCTGAGAGCACCTTTCTTAAAACTATTGGGAAATATATGCCGAGTCTTAAAATTGGCCACATAAGCAAAAACCGGTTTGGCTTATGTGGATAGAGCGTCGGCCTGCGGACTGAAAGGTCCCGGGTTCGATTCTGGTCAAGGGCATGTACCTTGGTTGCGGGCACATCCCCAGTAGGGGGTGTGCAGGAGGCAGCTGGTCGATGTTTCTCTCTCATCGATGTTTCTAGCTCTCTCTCCCTCTCCCTTCCTCTCTGTAAAAAAAAAATCAATAAAATATATTAAAAAAAAAAAAATTGGCCACATAACTTGACCTCATTAGTAATAGCCCGCTGGAATCTGTGTTTACTTTATTTAATTTTTTAATCCAGAAATTGGAGGGTGACGGCGACAGCATGTGAACGATGACACGCAGCCGCGCCCTCCGTACCTCGAAGAGCACGTAGCCGAACCCGCGGCCGACGCCGGTGAGCGGGTCTCTGACGATCCTCACGGCCACGATGTCCCCGCAGTCCACAAAGTGCTCCTCCACCGCGGAGTCCTCGATTCCTGAAAACAAATCCACCGGCGCCGAGGCGCGGCCATTGGTGAGGTGGCAGTCCTGGCCTTTTAAAGTTCCTCTGAACGCACAGGTACTGCTCAGCGCCGGCTATTCCCGGTACTTGGACAACAAACAGGTACTTTGCTTATACACACTTACTGTACGGGAGATTGCCCACAAACACCGAGCGCCTGTCCCTCTGAAACACAAAGACACACAGTCACTCATGGAACAGAACGGGGGTCACCCGAGAGCCCAAACTCCCTTCCCGACCCCCCCTCTACACACCACAGGCTCTGTCTCTGTTGTAACCACTCCCTTCTGCCAATCGCACAGTACTACCAACCCAATGGGGTGTTTGTATACTAATAAAACTTTATTGAAAAGAGAAGCCAGCCAGTGGATCAGGCCAGCTTGCTGCCCCTGTGCTCGGTCCACAGTCGCAGCCAGGGATGTCAGCCAGGCCCCTGTCACTTCCTAACTAGGTCACTCTGACACCACCAGCCATTAACCTATGCTTCTATGGAGAGCTCTTACTCATTTGTTTCAAGACATTTAAAAAAATATATGTATTGCCCTAGCCAGTTTGGCTCACTGGACAGAGCATCGACCTGGAGAACGAAGGGTCCCAATTACATCCCGGCCGAGCAAGGGGTGTGCAGGAGGCAGCTGATGGATGTTTCTTTCTCATCGATGTTTCTAACTCTATCCCTCTCTCCCCCTCTCTGTAAAAAGTCATTAAAATGTGTTTTTTTAAAAAGAACTCGCAGATACTCACAGATGAGGTCTCCGATGCTAGGTCAACTCGAATACGGAATCCATCGGCGATTTGGGCCCCATTTCTGCGTTAAGACATAGGAAGGGGAAATGGCTCTTACAAAGCAGCACTGAGTTCCTGTACCATTGGCTTTAAAGTGAAAGCAAAGAGTTAAAAACACTCAGAGCTGCCGGAGTGATTCTGTCAGACCTCAGAGAGAGAACAATTACCTGTTCAGTGCTTTAGCGGCAGCACTCTCGTCCTTAAATACTACGTACGCGTTAATATTTTTCTGATCAGGATGAATTTTACGCCTACGTAAATAAAAAATAAAAATAAGAAAGGACCATGTAAAATGGTTAAATCTCCAAGTCACCCACATAAATAGCTTGTTTTCTACTCTCAGTCTATACATAGGACAAAAATTCCCGGAGGAAGTTTCACCTCTTTCAATAAATATTTAACCACAACAAAAATAACACACCACCTACACACACTGGCTGAAACACGTAACCCACGCCTTCCTCTTCGGTTATTTCACAATACTTTCCGTGACTTTATAATTTACTTGGAGACTTAAAGACAAACATCTGACAAATGTATATGCTATTTCCAGGCAAAAGGGACCAGCAGAGCATGGTGTTTTCTCCAAGTATAAAAAAACCTATGAAGCTGAGAGATGGTCTCAATGTTAACCAAAACGGAAACGAATACAAGACTACTCCGTTTCATTATAAACTTACTTTATGGCAGCCAACTTTTTGGACATCGTTTCTTCTGCTGGAATCTTTTAAAAAGAAAAAAAAAAAAAAAAAAAAAAAAGTAAAGTAAAGAAAATTCATTATTTGAAATATTACTTTAGTTATAATTAACACGCTCTAAATATTTGATTGAAAACATTCTAGGGTGCCCTGGCCAGCAGAGTTCAGTGGTTAGAGCACTGGCCCAGGAACCAAAGGGTGGCAGCTGGATTCAGGTCATACCTGGGTTGCACAAACATTTATTTTCCTGAGTCCTAACACACATTAATTACATTCCAAAGGTATGAATACTGCTCATTTCCTGCCGGTCTGCAGTCGCAGAGTGAAGTGAGATGCCATGTACGCGTATAGTTTTGCAGGAAACTGACAAAAAATATTTCATCTTTCTATGTTCAGAACATACATGCTGTATGAAGCGGCCACACAAACCTCCCAGATGGGAAGCCTACAATCCCGGAAATGCTGTTCAGTAAGTATTAACATTTCCGCTTATTCAACGGTCACAGCAGAAACAAGTCACCATCTACCTCCGAGATGCAGTGCTGGTCTGAGGAGCAAGGATATCATTTCACTCTGCGACTCGCTAAATTATTTAACAAGGACAAGAGTCAGCAACAGGCACTAAAAACGACTTTTCTCTAGGGCTACACTTGAACTCTTGACTCAACTATTAGGTGTGAAGTCAAAAGTGGAAGTCAATGCTCATCCACCTCAAGAATGCCACCAGGGTAACAGGTCTGATTTCAGCACGCGGTGTCTCACGATTTTGCAGTTCTAAGGGGAAAGGAAACATACCACGGAACGAAATCGCACGGATTCTATCGGCCCGAACTCCTTAAAGAACGACTTCAGCTTCTGAAATAAAGAAGCACAGACTTTAGTTCACTTCCGGAGCATCAAGTAAGTGGCTACAAAAAGGAAGGAAGTAAAACGGCCTGATGATCATTTACTGCCAGGTTTTATTTTTATTTATTTATTTATTTATTTATTTTAAATGTATATTTTATTGATTTTATACAGAGAGGAAGGGAGAGAGATAGAGAGCTAGAAACATCGATGAGAGAGAGTGAAAGAGAGTCATCGATCAGCTGCCTCTTGCACACCCCCCACTGGGGATGTGCCCGCAACCAAGGTACATGCCCTTGACCGGAATCGAACCTGGGACCTTTCAGTCCCCAAGCCAACGCTCTATCCATTGAGCCAAACCGGTACCGGCTACCAGGTTTTATTTTAAGAGCATTTCAGAAGAAGCAGGTGACTATTTAGGTTGAAAGACAAATGCATTTTACTGAAAAATGGGGGGGGGGGGGGAAAGTACAATGTAAGTTCATGTTAGAATCTCTAAGGTATGTAACACTTTTGTCTTTTAATCTTTGATAACCTTTACCACGGGTAAAGGTAAGGCTGGGTCACAGCCATTGTTCAGATAAGATTTACAAAAGCCAGTGACTATGAGAGCAGAAAGGAGGGGTGAATCCTGGCATCAATCTACAGAATGATGTATGTGTCATGTATAATGAAGTTAGCAATCAATGACTTATGGTTGTGTGCTTACTCCAGAGAATCATTAAACAAAGTTATGAATGACTCCCTTCTCTGAAGCAAATCCATCTACATATGGCACACTCACCTTCTTATTGCACGTGACAGGCAAATTGCCCACAAACACGGTTCTCTCATTCTTTCGCCTCTCTTCTTCCTGGTTGACTTGAATTTTCTTCCTCTGATTGACAGCTGTGTGATCCTCATCAGCAAGGACTTGTTTATCTGCCACTAGAACACCAGATTGAGAAGCTTTCCTTTTCTGCCCTGGTTTCTGGTGAGTTTCTTCCTCTAAGTCAGCGCTTGCTAGAGCATTTTCTCTTTTTAAGGCAAAAAAAAAAAAAAAAAAGGAAGAAGAAATAATAGTCATGAGTCAGGTCTACTATTTGACAAAGCAGTGATTAAAAATATTCCCCACCTACTCTGACTTTCCTAAATATAAACATACCATTCACAAACACATCTACGTTTTTGAAATAATATATTTTATTGTTTTTTTAGAGAGAGGAAGGGAGAGGGAGAGAGAGTTAGAAACATCTATTATCAGCTGCCTCCTGCACACCCCCTACTGGGGATGTGCCTGCAACCAAGGTGCATGCCCTTGACCGGAATCAAACCTGGGACCCTTCAGTCCGCAGGCCGACGCTCCATCCACTGAGCCAAACCAGTTAGGGCCACATCTACATTTTAAAAGTAGCATTATCAAAAAGTGACCATCATCTTTAGAAAATTCAAGTCAGAAAAAGCTCCATTTCTGAAGATATGTTAGGACTGCCAGGTAACAGCAGGAACAGAAGTTCATTTAAACAAGAGTGCTTTTGTTTAAAGCTCTTGAAGATTCAGCCTGCACTCTCCCAATGCCCAATGTCATTATCTGCCCTGGCACTCAAGGGGTACTGCAGCACCCTCTGGGGGTCTAGACAGGTCAGTGCACCTGCAAAATAATGCTGTGAAAGCAATCTGGCCAATTAGGAAAAAAACAGATTTCCTGCTTTTATGAGTTCTGAATATCTCAAGGACTGCTTGTGGAATGTCAATTCTGAGACGGCGAATAAATGAATTTCACCAACCTGTCTGCCAATCTCTTCTGGGCACCGGAAAGTTTCTTCACTTTCGCTTTTTTGGCAGGTTCTTGCACACGGGGGCTTCCAGTGAGGGCCGGACTTTCTTCCTCCTCCTCCTCTTCTTCCCGTTGCCTTTTTTTGGTGGTTTCCTTTGAAAAGTGTGAAGCCAAGTGTGAGACCTCATCCTTCACAATTCAGTGGGTCTGCCCCACAGGCCGGTGGGGCTCGGCGGTTGAGCTTTGTCCAGCGACCAGGAGGTCAGGGTTCGATTCCCGGGTTGCAGGCTCCATCCCCAGGGTGGGTGTGCAGGAGGCAGCCGATCCATGATGTTTCTCTCTCATTGATGTTTCTCTCTCTCCACCCCTCTCCATCTCCTTCTCTAAAACAATTAAAAAAGCACAATAACTCAACTGGTCTTGATAAATTAGCATCTCTCTTGCCGAAACCCGTGTGGCTCCATGGATAGAGCGTTGGCCTGCGGACTGAAGGGCCCCAGGTTCGATTCCGGTCCAAGGGCATGTGCCTTGGTTGCGGGCACATCCCCTGTAAAGGGTGTACAGGAGGCAGCTGATCGGTGATTCTCTCATCGATGTTTCTAACTATCCCTCCTCTCTCTTCCTCTCTGTAAAAAAATCAATAAAACATATTTACAAACAAACAAACAACAAAAACTCTGTTAAGTTAGCATCTCTCCCTCCCAGGCATGCTCAGCAATCGAAGGGCACCTGGGCTGCACCCCATCCGCCCCCAGTAGAAGCCACGCCCCGCGAGGCGGACTCATTTGAAAGCGGTTCCCACGGAGACTTACCTTGGGCACCGGCACGTACACGGGGGGGCGCTGCGGCTCCCGGGGGCTGAAGAGGGCCGCCAGCCGCCCGGTGCCGCCGCCGCCGCCTCCGCCGCGGCCCAGGCTGTCGGCCACCTGTCCCACCAGGTAGTCTCCTCCCTCCGCAGGCCCCTCGCCGCCGCCCGGGCTCTGCGGACCCACAGACGCCTGAGGCCCCGCGGCAGCGCGCCGCCCACCCGCCGGAGCCCGGGCCGCGCCGCGAGCCACCCCCCGCTTCGCCGCAAGCTTCTCCTGCCTCCCGCCGCTGCGCATGGCCCCGGCCATTCTCAGCCCCAGGCCGCCCGGAGCCACACTTCCTGTCGGGGCAAGGCTACTTCCGCTCCTGCGTCGTCTTCCCCGCCCCCCTGCGACCGTGCTGGGGGCGGAGACAGCTGTGCCGGCCGCAGCGAACACCCATTCGGCGGGCGGGGTCTGGATCCATGTTCCTGTTTTGTTTTTAATCTTTTTATGTGTTTTTTTAAGTATACTTTTATTGATTTCAGAGGGGAAGGGTGAGGGAGAGAACTTGCAACCCTGGGTTTGATCCCCAGTGGGGGTGGGGGCTGCACAAGGCAGCCGATCAATGATTCTCATCTTTGATGTCTCTCCCTTGCTCTCTAAAAAGAAAAAAAAAAAAAGAAAAAGAAAAAAAAATATATATATATATATCTTTTTCTTTTTTTAAAATACACATTTGACGCTGCTAGAAAAAAAGAAAATTTTACTATTTGCAACAGCATGGATGGAACTGGAGAGCATTATGCTAAATGAAATAAGCCAGTCGGAGAAAGATAAACATCACATGATCACATTCATATGTGGGATATAATGGCAACATAAACTGATAAAAATAGAGACAAGGGGCAGGGGAGGGGGTTAGAGACCAAAGGACTTGTATGCATGCAGACGTGTATAACCAAAGGACAGGAGGGGGCTTACCCTTGGGGATGGGAGTGGAAGGGGGGGGGAATGTGTGTGTCAACGGGGGGAAGACATGAAATACTTTAAACAATAATAAATTGAAAGAAAAAAAAAGTACACATTTGAGCTTTCTAGGCCTTGAACCAGTATGCTTTTAAAACGGCATTTTCCCTTGGTGGGAAGTTCATTAAATGGATCAAAGAAACTATTGGTCTTAAAAGGTTTGAGGTAAAGTGGGGATTCTCAACCCGAAGCACATTAAATCACTAGAGACCTTAAGAAAAAGATCAACATCCAGGTCCTACTGCAGCCAAGTAAACGGGACTCTGAGGGTGATTCAGCCTTCCCAGCGATTCCCATGTGCAAGAGTGGAGTGCACTAGAAGTATGAGACCAACAGGGTCCATGCAAATTAAAAGACAATTACAATTTAAAAGAAAAAAGATGGTGCCCTGGCCTGTGTGGCCCAGTTGGCAGGAGCTTTGTCCCAAGAACCAGAGTATAGGAGGTTCGATTACCTGTTGGGAAGCATTCCCTAGGTTGCCCTAGGTGTGCGTATTGGATATAAGACATGGTTTTCCTCTCTCTCTCTCTCTCTCTCATCAATTAAAAAAAAGGGGGGGAGGGAGGCTACTGGGAATGGTTTTAAGTGTGTTAAAGAAAATAAACGTTTTGATTGTATTCTTTAGACAAATCTCCAAGTCTTAGGTATTCTTCATGCTCAGACTCAAGCAAAACTGTACACAAAGATAACAGAAGGCCTAATAAATCCTGTATCTGGTTAGTGGACTTTGAATTTTTATGGATAGAACATTCCCTTTCTGAATGTCAAATTAACCCCTCTTGACACTACAGCATGGAGATATATGTTGCAATCAGTCATCATGTACAGAAATGAACCAAAATTACTTAATCTTTTAGAAACAAAATCAATGACTCACAAACTATGGCATTTTATTTCAGAGCCTTTGCTTACATTTGTACAATATATTACATAATTCTTCATTGTTTGCAGATCCTAATATATACTTTATAGCTTTTATTCTATAAGCTTTTTCTTCAATGTTTTGCTGTCAACAAATCTTTACAATCCTGTACAAATTTGAGTAACTTGAAACCATTTTCAACAAAATTAGTTACTGTAAGCACACATTACAAGACTGAAAAATGCTTTTCTTAGAAAAGTTGAATGTAAAGGATTCTGACACGTTAGCATCTACAACAAAACGCTTCAAAATTCTCACATCATTTTGCCTGAAAACAAATAAAACATGCCAGCCCCATTAAAAAAAAAAAAAGTACACAGAACTACAATTAAAACAGTAAAACAGTCTGTACAGTAAAGTACTGTGTATTAACAGTGCCAGGTATTAAATAGCTTGAATGAACACATCCGCAATATACAAATGTCTTACAAAGGTGGAGAATTAAATACAAGTGCCAAACAGAACAGAGGTTGGAATCATACAACATAAAGTCAATACAAGTGAAAACAATTCTGCGTCCATTTATTTTATACAAGGCATTTAATTTCATAGGCTTACTACCCGATTACCTATTTATATTTCAACCTTGAACCATACTCATACAGTTACTTGTTCCTGAAGTTCTCTTATTGTAGCTCATAATAAAATAAGCAATACAAATGAGTTATCTGTATTTAAGGAAAAGAAACATTTACAAGAAAACACAAAAATATAACTGTTATAATTCATTATGAATAAATATACACTTTGAACTGGCTAAATACAATCTTTATACATTGTTTAAGATTTAATACAGTTTATTAGCCGTTTTTTTCACACAATGTATTATATCAAAATTAAAAAAAAATACTGATTTATAGAAAAATGGCAAAGTACAGTAGTTCCATTCCAATTTGAAGGGGATGAAAAGCCACTGCAAGACCTTTTAGCCTAATTCAAACCTGTAAACATGTTCAGTCTTTTTTTTTTTAAAGAGAATCTTTAATATTTGGTTACCAGGACTGGTGTCTGATGTCCCGTTAACGGCAGGTTTTGAATTTATTACATGTGCTTGACTTATACAATTAAAGCCACCGCAAAGTGACTCTCTTTAAAAAACAATTAGCTTGTACAAATGAAAATAGGTTCATATTTTTTTCATAAATAAATGGAAAAATATCAAATGCTCCAGCTTTAACAAAATACAAGGGAATACATATACAGTAAGTTGTCTCACCCTTTTCTGGCCACCCAATCATTACGCTTACTGTATCGTCTATACAGGCAGTGAAAAGCCTCCATTAGCCACAGTGGAAGGCCTTCAAGTCACCAGACACACAATTCCCAGACAAGTTGGAAACAATTATTGCTTGAGGAAAAGCAGTTCATTGTACTTTTTCTTCATAAAAAAAGTGCACTTAAGTGCCAAGTCAGCTTGTCAAGAAACATTTTTTAAATATAAAATAGTGCTTTTGTGTGATTTTGTTCTGTGCCACTGTGCAGCATGAAAAGGACGTGGCCCTCACAGCCATTAAGTGCAAAGTGCTTGAGCGAGCCCTGTTGTCACCTGCACTCAACTGACACTCCGTTCTGCGATGCGCTGGACACGGGTGGTTCAGCTAACGTTAACATGACAGCAGCTGTGATGGAACTGGATGAGGGTGAAGAGGAGGAGGAGGATGTAGCAGCACCTACAAGGAGGAAAATCCAATCAGCAGCTTAAAGAAACACATACCCAGCAATCAACAGGAGTAAATCACTAGACTACATTTTTATTTTTATATTTATTTTAATTGATTTCAGAGAGGAAGGGAGAGGATGGTAAGAAACAGCAATGATGAGAGAGAATCAACGATCATCTGACCCCACACACCTTCTACTGGGGATCAAGTCCACAACCCCAGCATGTGCCCTGACAGGGAATCGAACCTGTAATCTCTCAGTGCATGGGACCAAGCTCAGCCAACTGAGCCACAATAGGCTAAGGCCATAGCACTTTTCACTAACCAAAATTTTATTAGAATTTTTGGAAAGCAGACTGTATGCTCTATGAAAGTGATTATAATTTGAGATCATTTTTCTTTCGGCAAAATTTTCCCACTTGATGGGTGAGGATAAGATAGCTTAAAGATACACAGGACAAACTCCTGTTAGTCTAATGCAGTCACAGCTGCCTTCTGTGTAAGTAAAGGTAAACACACTTACTTTCTCTTTCTTTCTTCTTCAAACGCTTTCTCCTACGATCGATGGAAGCTACTTCAGATTTTAATGACAGATAATGTTTTCTAATTTCTTGCAATTTTTCTTGAAGAATTGTGATGCGTTCAGCAGTTGTCATATTTTCAAGGTCCGCTGCAATTTTAAAACTTTTATTAATATGTATTTTTGAACAAAATGTTAAGATATAAAAGAAACGACATATAGTGTGCCTATAGAACGAGGTCAAGAAGAAAAACTAAAAATAAGGCTTGTAGATTTGTTTCCCTAACAATGCCTAGTGTATAACATAAGCACAATACTTACTGAACTAATGTGTGGAGAATTAAAGACCTTACAACCTACACATGTATGCTAAAAATTCCACACCGCGTACAGTATCATCACAGTACATCGTATAAACTCATACTTAGAAACAAGACTGGGAAGACACCAAAATGTTAAAATTGTTTATATTTTCGAATGTCAGAATTGTGGATACATTTTTTAAAATCCTTTTTATATTTTTATGAGTATATACGTATAACTTTTAAATTGGAGAAACTTTTTTTTCAAAGGCTCTAAGGCAATTTTCAATATCTTAAGAATATTTTAAGAAACTGGGGTAGGTAGTCTCCACCTACCCCAAAAAAATATATATACACATTATGGAGATTTCTCATGTCCACTGAAGTCTATAGTACAATGAAGCTTTATACACCCATCACCTACCTTTAGTTATTAGCAATTCATGTTGAATCTTGTCTCATTTATACTCCCCTCCCCTGATCAGAAATACCTAGCCAATGTTGATATTTTCCTTCAAGTTTTTCTGTTAGCAATCTATTTATTCAAATCAAGATCCAAATAAAGTCTCTATGATGCAACTGGCTATTGGGTCTCTTAAGCTTGGTTATAAACTGCCTTTCAATGACTCGCATCCAGAGTGACCAGGATGAAGTTGCTACTGACTCACTGTCACTCAGCCCCCGCCACTCACACATCTGGAAGGTCCACTTGTAAACTCTGGGGAGCCGGCTGCTGGGCTCCTTGAGGTCGGGGTCCTTGTCCCCATTCTTCCCACACTTCCCTGGCGACTGGGTCCGCGCAGGCGACTTGGCGCTGTGGGCCTTTCCCCCCGAGGGGAGGGGTCTGCCCGGCTGCGGCTTGGCGACACCCTCCCCGGCAGACAGCTCTTCGCTGTCGCTGCTGTTGGCTGCAAACACAAGCGAGAGGAAAGCATTGGAAACGGGAAAGAGACGAAGCTTCTGCCACAGATCTTAACGGGCGACTTTAGATCACCATGTGAATTCATTCCTGCCGAATCCAACTCGTGTTACAGAAGCTGCCTGAGCGCTTCAAAAATCATCGTGTTCAAATGCACCGGCACAGTTAAGCGAAACGAAACTCTTCTTACCTGAGTTGCCAATAGTATTTTTTTTAAAAAAACCACAAAAAGCAACCCTAATCTTCCATTATACCTGGTAAACTGTCAAATTACAGTAATTAGCTGAATGGCTTTTTATTCCATTATGTTACTATATAAAAAAATAGAATACAGAATCTTTTAAACTGACTCATTATAGAAACTTCTTCATTTTAACATTTCAGATTGTATAGATGTACACTACTCCTCTGGCCACAAACTGATGCATAATCATCATGTTCAATAAAGATTATTCGGGAGTAAACACTAAACTTTGATACATAAAATGAATTTCTCAAGTAATAGCTTGCTGACTGCAATAAACCATCAGTTTTACCCGGGTAAACAGATTCAGTAATTTATGAAAAATTCTGAGGTCTATGTAATATTATGTTACACCTGTTTTACTGACTAAAAGCCTCAGTACCATAGAAATGGTTAACACCTTGATAAGTTTAACATGTGATTGACTAAGATGATGGCACTGATTTTCCCATCAATGTCCTCTTTCTGGATAAAAAAATAAAAAATAAAAAATAAAACAAGTATTATTTTAGATTCCATGAGAGTTAATTCATTTAACTGAATTATTTTCAAAGAATGGATGGTATCCTCATTCTGATTTACCAAGGTGTAAGCCCAATAATTAAAACGTGAGAAAGCAATCAACAGTTTTATCTTAAATTGTATGAATGTTAACTGTGTTGCTGAAGATGGCCCCTCTTAGGAAATGCCATTTCAATGGTAAAGTCTTGAAGACAAAGACATCACAGTGAGATAAAAAAATGCTTTAACTATCCTGTCATTTACTCCAAATAACTGACGATCAAATTGGCATCTACTCACTGACTCTTCATTTAACCACAGCTATCAAAAATAACGGAATACAGTTGGCTCTCAAGGCCTGAGACATCTCCAGGGGAGGTACAGGGCGTCTCTTCCACGTGGTGTTCTGGGAATAAAGAGACGCCACCACGCTCTGACGCCACGTCTCCTAATCACAGCCCCGCCCAGACCCCCCTCTGCTGCTCTGGAACCTCTGGCAACTCCTCGCTCAGCCCCCAGGCTCGGCCCCACTCTGATGCAGTGGCCTGCCTCAGCCTGGCATGGCCTTGCTGAGCACAGCCGCCCGGGGCCCCAAGGAACGCCATATTCACCGCCTGGAAGTCATATGGGCTCGGCAGAACCTCGGGGCGCTGGCCGCATAACCCTTTCTGCACTGAAGTGCAGCCAAGCCGGCCGAGAGCCAAGGTCAGGCAGTGGAGGTGGCAGGAGTCTCCTGGAAGAGCAGCAGGAGTCAGTGTGGGGCACCTGAAAAAAAATTCTTTACATATTTTCCGCTTCTCACTTCGTCTACAAGAGAGAGATAACACGTGCAGCCCTCAGGAGAAATACAGTACACACAGCCCTGCGGGTGGGTGAGCCACTGCTAAAGTCAAGTCTTCAGTCAGAGCCCCTCAGCCAATGTGCACAGTACACACTGCTCATGGCTACTCCTGGCCACATGGCTGAGGTGCCCACGGTCAAGGTTGGCTGGAGGTGTTGGGATGACAGCGCCAAAGCTGCCTTGACTGTTTTCTTCTAGGCTGATTTTGCCTTGAAGAATGACAAAGCCATCATTTTATCGTAATAAAATAATAATGTGATGTGACAAGGGGAAAGAACTATGGAGCATAAAACAAACACGGAGATGTTGTTTACATTATAGGAGCGGTGGCTGTTATTTTAAAAAAGATTACTGGCCCTGTCATCAGCAATGAATGACACCGCTGAATACCAAACCGCTTAATCCAAGAATTTACCTAGGCCGTGAAGACATTTTGTGGGTAGTGACAGAATTAAAATACTGACTTAGCCCTGGCCGGTGTGGCTCAGTTGGTTGGAGCGTCATCCCATTGATACACTGAAAGGTCCCAGCTTCAATTCCCAGTCGGGGCACATACCCAGGTTGTGAGTTTGTACAGGAGGCAAGCAATCAATGGTTCTCTCTCCCATCTATCTGACACCCTTTCTCTCTCTCTCAAATCAATAAAAAACATATCCTCAAGTGAGGATTAAATAAAATACATATATTGGCTTATACCATATCCTGAATACCTTAATGGGGAGAAAATATATGCCATAACTTACTGGTATAGTTGACATCAGTAATTACTTTCAGGCTTACAAAACGGTAATTCAACAGTTATATACCTTACAAGAGAGCACCACATCCGCCATTATTTTTATGTCTAAAAAGTTAAGAGGTTTTAGGACTTACTGCCTTTTCCCTTCTTTTTGTTGTTTACCACCGTGGCTTTATGGCTTCGTTTCTGCTTTTTTGATGCACTTCCTGCTCCCTGAGCTTCTTTCACTCTTTTCTGACCTGTACAGGCTACAAAGGGAAAGGAATTATTAAGTAACACAATATACAAATCAAGCATTTCCTAGGTATGACTTCATCCCACATTTTATAAGTACAGAACAATTCTGACTCTATACATGCTCTTTGAGATTTATAAATTTATCATCAAACTTAGTGTTATTTTTAAATATCATCAAACTTAGTGTTATTTTTAAAATAGATTGTTATTAATGAGCTGACTTATTAAGTTAGAGGGTTGTTTTCTTTTTTTTAAAGCAGATGGAAGTGTGAACATCCTTCTTAGAAAAATCGGATATAAACTGGAAATAGTTCTCAATATAGTACTGAGAGCTTTTAAGTCTAGTAGGAATTCAAAAACAGGCATATGCTGAAAATAAAAAGTAAAATTTGTTAAAATTCAGTAAAAGCAAAATATTATAATTTAATTACAGGTTAAATATTAGTAATATATCTTATAATGATATTAATGTAATTTTAAATGCTATGATACGAATGGGATAAATTTTAGTAGTAATTCACAGTTATAGTACATATTTATTTATTTGATCAGGAACTTAATCTCAGGGCACTGGTTAACTCACACAGTATTTACAAATCCATTACAAATGGCAGTTCTAAGTAACGGTTCATCTTCATGGTAGATTATCCAAAATATTATAAGTGTCTCCTTTCCTTTAAGGACTACTTTCCCTGCTGCTCAGGCTTCCCAGACTGATCACTCCTCTACACTGTAGTTTCTATACATTTTCCTTTTTACTGATCTAGCCTGGGCAAATCAATTCCATAAAATAGTATGGAGACAAATACAATCAGAGTAGCTATATCTATGAAGGTAAATAAAAATAGCAATTATATATTCTACTTAGTATTTGTTGTTCCACAAGAAATAAGTTAAGATTTGTGTGACAATGTTATAGCAATTTTATCTCAATAAAGCTGGAAGAGGAAAAAATGATTTGTGTGAGACAAGTTGGATCTTAAGCTTAGCTAAGAACCTAAAGCTAGCATGATAAAAGCTGGTATGTTACATCAAATACAGACCCTACCTCGTGCTCTGCCTTTACCATGGAAAGAGTGCTTTGAAGCCAGAGTCAGACCAGAGCACACCAATTTAAAGACACCTGAGCGAAGTGGTTTATAAGAAAAATGACGACAGAAGTATAGCTATGGCACTATCAAAAGGTACTAGTATAGCGAAACCTTTGGCTGTGGATGGAGTGTCAGCCTGTGGACTAAAAGGTCCCGGATTCGATTCCGGTCAAGGGCATGGACCTTGGCTGCAGGCACATCCCCATTGGGGGGGGGGGGGAGGTGTGTGTGTGCAGGAGGCAGCTGATTGATGTTTCCAGCTCTCTATCCCTCTCCTTTCCACTCTGTAAAAAAAAAAAAAAAATCAATAAAAAAAATATATTTTTTAAAAAGGTACTAGTACCTTTGGAAGGTACTCATTTGAATTTCCACTTTTAACAACACTACGGAAAATCAAAAAAGGATCCTGCCGGTTAGTAGCATACACATTGGTCCTTCAGCTTGGCAGCTACGCATCTAAGAAAGCATCAGATTCCTTTACGAACTCACACAGTTAGTGAGGCTGGACACTCAGTTCGGCACGGTTGTCTGAGGGAGGCAGTGCCTGCCAGTGGGTGGCTCCAAACCCCTCCATACAGACTTGGTTAAGGTGGGAGGGGTCTGTCAATAGGTCAGAATGTTGGTGAGAAACTGCACATTACAAATGCACACACAGCCTTACAGAATATAGTTAAGCTGCGCCGAAACCGGTGTGGCTCAGTGGATAGGCCTGCGGACTGAAGGGTCCCAGGTTCGATTCCGGTCAAGGGCATGTACCTTGGTTGCGGGCACATCCCCAGTAGGGGGTGTGCATGAGGCAGCTGATCGATGATTCTCTCTCATGGATGTTTCTAACTCTCTATTCCTCTCCCTTGCTCTCTGTAAAAAGTCAATAAAATATTTTTTAAAAGAGGGGAAAAAAAACAACATATATATATATTTTTAAATAAATAAATATATCTATATATATCTATGTGTGTGTGTGTGTGTGTGTGTGTGTGTGTGTGTGTGTATATATATATATATATACTTAAGCTGCTCATGCCACACAGTCGGCCAGTGTATAAGGAATTCCTAGCAGGTCTGGCCTGGCCTGGGTGCTTCTCCAGCTTGGAGATAAACGCCTCCGCTATTCATTCCCCCCGCGACTTGGCAGGTTCCCAGGGGACCCGTTCGCTCAGGAGGCCCGGGAGGGTGGGCCGAGGGAGGCGGCCCGCTGGCCGCTCACCTTTCTCGGGAGGCTCGGGCTCGGGCTGGGCGCTGCTGCGGGAGCTCACGCTGGCATCGCAGGCGGCGGGCGAGCTGTTGCCCTCGGACTGCAGGTCCTGCAGCTCGCCGGCCACGCTGTCCACCTCGATGGTGCTGTCCGTCTCGCTCTTGATGCTCCGCACCTCCTCCTGGCTCGGGGCCAGCGTGTCCGCTGCGGGCACAGGAGGCGGCTGCTGGCCGGCCTCCGTGGCCGTGGCCGTGGCCGAGGCCGGGGACTCCGGGGTGGTGGGCGGCGTGTTGAGCACCGAGTTGCTGCCGCTGCTCGGGAAGTCCGCCTTCTTGTCGCCGGCTTCCGGGGGCCTGTCCCCGGCGGGCGGGGGGTCGGGGCCGGCGGGCAGCGGGCCGGCCAGCTCGGCGCCGCCGGGGGAGCAGCTCTCCTCCTCGGCCACGGGCTGCAGGGCCCCCTCGGCCGGGCCCTCCTCCGGGGCCGGGTGCGGGGGGGACGCGGCGGCCTCGGTGTCGGAGTCGGAGAAGAGCTCCTTCAGCGTCTTTTTGGGCCACTGGCCTTGGATGCTGGACCACACGTCTTTGCGATCCTTCGCGCGGCTGTTCTGGAGCCGCTCGTCCGCGCTGCTGAGGAGTTTGATCCTTTTCTCCGCGCCCTCGGCAAAGCCCGGGTAGAAGCCGGCGGTGCGCAGGGCCTTCCGCTTCTCCTCCAAGCCGTTGTACTTCTTCGTGGGCGTGGGCTTCGCTTTCGATTTCCCTTCGTCGTCTTCGTCGGAGGAGCTGCTGCTGCTGCGGTCTGCGCAGAGCGCGTCTTTGCTCTTGGCCTTCTCGTCCTTTCTGCTGGGCGACCCGGTGTCCGCGCTCTCCTCGGCGCTGCAGCGCCTCCGTTTCCCCCGTTTCACCTGCGGCTTTGAGGCTTTCTCGGGGGTGTCTTTCTTGCCATCCTTTCTCTTTTTTGTGACTTCATCTTCTTCGTCATCAGTGTCTTCGGACAACCCCTCTATGTCTTTTCTTAACCTTTCCGGAGACTTGGACGCTGGTTTAGATGTTCCCAACTCTGCGTGGACCTTGCTTTCTTCTGGCAAAAACGAGCTGTTCTGTTCCTCCTTTGAAAGGAGGTCATTTCTGGCGTGGGCCAAACACTCCGCCTTCGAGTCCTCTTTGCCGGCACTGTCCATGTCCTGAGCGCCTGTCTCGTCGTCCTGCTCACTGTCTTCAGAACTTTCAGAAGCTGGAAAAGAAAGAAGAAAAATGATATAGGAGAAGGTTAGCAGAACCTCCTCTGCGCCATGCACTTTATATGTCAGCTCCTATTTTATTAGCCACCCTGCTCGCCAGGTTTTATTCCATTTCATAGTAAGGAAACTGCTTCAGAGAGTTAAGACACTTGACAATAATGTCTACATCATGCCTGGAGTGATAGTTCCATTACTATATACTTTAGCCAGAACATAAAATTGTAAACATAAAGGTCGTGAATTTTATTGTCTGTAAATTATACCTAATTAAAGCTGTGAGGTGTGTGTTTGAGGAGTGTGTTTTTATCATCCCTATTTTATAGTTTAGAAAACTAGGATTTAGAGAGGTTACACTACCCCGAATAGCTAGAGAAAGTCTAAATTTAAGTCATTTGATTCCAGAATTTAGAATCTTAACTATAACATTCTAAGAAATCCATGTAGTATGTTCTATAACGAGGTTTAAGTTTTAAAAAAAATTGAGGCAATTAAGATGGGTAAAAACATTACAAATTTTCAACGTGTTCCTGCATAACTAAATTTTAAAAAATGATCAAACGCCACTTCTTCGAAATAGCCTCGCCCAGGCTGTGGTATTTTGTAGAAGAGCCACACTCAAGGGGCCAAAGAGCCGCATGTGGCTCGAGAGCCGTGGTTTGCCGACCACTGACCTAGACCCACTGCTAGATGAATCTCACGTCTTCCTTTGTCTCGGTTTACTCCCCTGTAGTGTTGGGCCACCTGGCAGTTTCCTACAACAGATACCTGGGAGGAAAACATTCTTTGTCCTTCCATGTTTGAAAACAGCCTGACCCCCAAACTTCAATGTGCGATTAGTTTAACCAGGTGCAGAATTCCAAGGTGAAATTCTTTTCCTTCCAAATTTTGAAGGTGCAGCTCTTTGCTTATAGTGTTGAAAACGCTCTTTCATGCCTTTGTGATGTTTTTATTCCTGCTATTTTATAATTTCATAACAATGTACTGGGGTATGGCTCTTTCTGCATCACTTTAAGTATCTGAGGGGCTCTTTCCATTTCAAGATTTCTGCCTGTCAGTTCTTAAAATATTTCCTCTTTTAGTTAGGTATTGGCTAATTTCTCCAGCCCTGGTCTGGTCTCATGAAGGAGGCAACCAACTGATGTGTCTCTCTCACATCGATGTTTCTCTCCCTCTGTCCCCCTCTACTCTACCTAAAAATCAATGGAAAAGTATCCTCAGGTGAGAATTAACAAATAAAAAATATCTCATATTTTTTATAACTCTTTTCAAGTTATTTTTATGGGGATACATTCTTTTACTTCATTTGATGGATCAGATCGTCCCCCCTTTTCCCTGCCAGCCAGATTTATAAACCTCCCCCTCCCATCAGTCTTTATCACTGTTATTATCTGATCGTTACAGTTCATCCTGCTGTAAGTATTAAGCAGTAATGTCACCTTAAAAGAGAATATAATAAATGTAATTAAGATAAGCTAATTTAAACATTCTTTACAAAAAATTCAATTTATATTCTAATATGGCATAACAAAAACTGCTTTCCATGGCAACGGAAAGAATGAAATCTGAAAAAAAAAAAAAGCACAGAATCAATTCAATAGGATGAATATTAAATGTTAACTACAATTTATTGGTGCGCTTGGATCTACTAACAGAAATATTTCTAAGCCTCAATCAATGGCTGGCTTTCTTTCAAGTAACAGAACAAAAAAAATTCTGGTTCCATTCAAAAACCAATTTGATGTCAATGAATAACCTTTACAGAATTTGATTTGTAAAAGCGAACAACAAACACTTGCATGCAAAAAGGACACTTAATATTTTTACCTTGAAGTCCATTGAGTATAGAAGTGATTTCTATAGATTTAATATGAGCTGTATCAGAGTTTTTGGCATCAGTAAGATCCAGTTTAGATACTATTTCAGGAGATGAATTTGTCTGAAATGGTGGTTTTGACAAGCGCCGAAGTTTACAGTTTTTAGGAGAGTATTTTTCATCTTTGTCTTTTTCTTTGTCTAATTTATTCTAGATTAAGGGGGGGGGGGGAGTATCTCATGTTAGCCATAATTTATCATGAGGCATTTATTAGTAACATTGTTAATACTAATTTTAACTCTTTTAATATATTATTAAATAACAAAAATATACAAAAAGCCCCTCAAAACAGCCACAGAAGTTTTTTCAATATTTAACAAATAATGCAGGATGAGCAAAAAGTTCCTGTCTATTATTTATATGAAATACATTAGCAATCAGACAGACCATTAAGACTAGCATGCCTCTGGGGTACCTGAAACCTATATAATTGTGCTAACCACTGTCACTCCTCTTTTCCAGCAAAGACCGGGAGTGAAGATGAGAAGGTCTGATGAGGCCTGAGGGGTAGCTACTCAGTTGCTACAGCAAAACTCAACCCAAGTTTACAGTGAGCAAAGAACGACCATTTTAGGGGAAAACTCTCACTATTAGGGGACACTAGAGTATTAGTTAGCAGGAAAGTAAAGTCTCACTTTGAATATGACAAGTGTACTTCAGAAGAACTACTAAACACTTCAAATACATACACCATTCAAAATATTAAAACGCCGTTAACAAGATAACTGTTCTAAAGCTAACGGTCTGCTTTCTAAGAAAACTTTAGAGAGAGTTAATCTTAGAAAGAGCAATTGGATCATACGGAAAAGTAACATCAACGTCCACACAGCGGCATCTATGGGAACCTGCTCTAAGCCGCTCCCTGCCGTCAGACCAGGAAGCCCCCTTTGCTCCTGCGTAGTTTGCAGTTAGTACGTGACCCAGGGATCCCTCGTTGGAAATCAGAGGGCAGGAGAGGGTGGACACGGGTCAGTAAAAGCTGTTGTGTGGCCTTCTACAATGATGAAACTGAGAAAGGTCTCACAGATCATTGAGTACAGTTTCCCACATGCCTTTCCATAAGTGACAATATTACTGAACCCAAATCTAGCTTTTGCTAAGTTTGCTATTTCAAGGAGTATTTCTAGCTCTGCTAACGCTAATGCACACACACTTAACGCATAATTTTGCGGGGAAAGTTCTTTAATGAAGAATTGTGATGTAGAGAAAAATAAGCACTTACCTTTATTTTTTTCCGATGTTTTATCTTTGGCACATTTTTATCAGCAGGTCTTACTATTTTATCTGCTTTAATCCATTCGTCATATCTAAAGTTAAAGGAAATTGATATAAATATACAGACATATACCACAGAGATACTATGGCACATTAAAGAGAAACTCGTAAATAAATAGAATCATCACATTTTAGAACTGGAAACAACTCTGGAGATCATTTAGTTCAACTTCCTGGTTTGATGCATAAAGTTACCAACCGCCCTGACCGGTGTGGCATTGTCTCATACACAGGAGGGTTGAGTTTGATTCCCAGTTAGGGTACATGCCCGGGTTGCGGGATTGATTCCTGGTAGGGGGTGTGCAAGAGGCAGCCAATCTATATTTCAATCTCACATTAATATTTCTCTCTCTCTAAAAATTGAGACTGACTGTTAGTGATTAGACCATACTTCTTAAAAATCTGTTTTCAAAAATTCCTTATAATTAAAGCATAGGATCTAGACAAGTATCCTACTGGATATTTAACTAAAATACTAATGAAATATTTTCAAGTATGTACATGATTTACTTGAAAATATTTCTTCTGAGTCATCTAACTAATGAAACAAACATGAAAGACAAGATGCACAAGCAACTCAGTGAACTTCCGAAGGTCACTCCCTGGGGGAGTGACCTGATCAAGCTGTGAACTCCAAGACCAAAAGCATGAACAAGGGCAGAGTCACGTGACAAATAGTCACATGACAAATACATCATCGGCACCTGTCACGTGACAGGCTCTGAGCTGAGCACTGGGTACTCAGCAGTGAAGGCAGCAATGCTCCTTCCTGCAGGGAGCTTACAAGTGAACAGAGATGCAACACCAAGTGGGAATTACAGAGGGACAACCTTCTGAAAGAAGGTACGTAAACATTTGTATTTCTAAATATGATGAATTAAAATATTTAAAGAAAGCTAGAGGAAATCAGAGACCATAACACAATTGCTCTCATCAGAGAAAAGTCAAGTTCAAAAAGGAAAGCTTTATAGTTTTTGTTTGGATATGTTGGCAAATCACCTAAGCAATCACTTAGCAATAATAAAAATGGAAAAGACTGTCAATCAGCCAGACATAAATGGTTTCTGTACCCAACATTGATTCAGACGTGGCTCTTCAACACAACTAAACCTTTTCCAGAGGAACCTCATCAGTATATGTTAATATAAACCCAAAAGACATAATCAGAGATTAGAAGTAATTACACGCAAAATAAAGATATTTTCAAAATAATTTCATAAGCAAAACCCAATTGATAAATACTAAAAATTCACTATCTGAAATATGTAGATTAAGCAATTTTATTGATATTTACTTACTTGATGAATTTCCTATTATAATCTCAACACATTTTTAAAATTATTTTTAATTGATTGATTTTAGAGAGAGAGGAGGGAGAAAGAGAGAAACATCAATTGGTAGTTTCAGTTATTTATGCATTTTATAGGTGCTCTGACTGGGGATCGAATCTGCAACCTTGGCTTATGGGGATGATGCTCTGAGCTCTCCGGCTATACATGTATTTTTAATTTGAGAAAATATCTAAAATTTATGAAGACTCACTGAATTTTGTGCTTTTAGTAATGTACTTCAGATACAACAAAAATAAAAGTATATTACTGAAAAGCTAAAATTCTAAGCATGCTATTAACATTCCGTATTTCTATTTCATGTAATACTGTTAAGTCCATACCAAAGACACAGGAATGGTATTCATCTTAATAAAGAAAATAACAGCATCATGATAGAAACATAATTACAGCATAATTTAAGATTTGACAAAACCACTCCGATGGAATGATACAGTAATGACACGAATCCATTTTCTTGGAGAATTAATTCTATTAGATGAAGTGAAGGCAGAGGCAGTAAGCAGCGTTCAGAACAATGGCAGAGCAGGTTTTATTTACAGACCACTGAAAAGGGTTAGCAACTGTGACTCACATACTGAGTTTCTAAGTATCCCTAAAACTTTACTAATAACTGATCAGTTTAGGGGGTTACTGTATTTGTGCCCGTTTAGACAAATGTACTACCTGCCAATCTACAAAGCCACCAATGAAAATCCATTGTCATGATTTACATAAAATGTACCTGCTAATCTACAAATTCCTAAATGGGAAAGTCCCGTTTCATAAACACTCTTAAGTTGAAACAGAAAGAAAGCCCATTTGAGTGATAAAGATAACTGCTAATCTTAATTTCACACACACAGAAACAGTCTGTTTTCACTTGCACTGAAACACTAGTCAACGCAAAAGTAATTTTTTAAGTTCACCTTATTGCTTTTAAGCTTTGCTTTATATTTCTCTACGTGTAGGACTCTCGGATGCTAAGTATTTTGTATGCTGCAAAAGATTTTTTCACAGCCTTTTGACTGCCATCGTACTTTTATTTGAATACGGAGAAAGTGGAACCTTAACAGAACGGTTTGACAGGTCCCAGAAAATTAAGAGTTGCCAAATATAGAGGAATAGAGGAGAGTCTAGACTCCAGGCTGAGCCAGGCCACATCTGTCCCAACCCATTAGTCTCTACATTCTACAGGAATGGCGTTTATAAACCAATCCTTTTCATTCGGATTTTAATTTCTGCCTCGCTCCCATTCAGCTGCCAGGAGGTCTAGCTCAATATTCATTCACTAGTTATCACGTTTTTCAGTTTTCAATTAAGGGTATAAATAATAATTACATTAACGTAAAGGTTTATATAACATTTCAGAAAATACAGTGTGTTTTTTTTTTTAAACTAAGGTATTTTCCTTTTAAACCCTGTTTGCTAGAAAATGATGTTTCGGATCACACAACACTCACATAAATAGCCCCCGCATGACTTTTTCTAAATTGCCATAGTCATGAGTGGCTGCCACTGAAAATAAAACTACTTTCATGAGCCTTCATGCATAAATCTTCATTTCCTATTTCACAGCAAGTGCAAATTCAGAGATCAAGCTGCATTTCCGAAAATCATGGGAAAACAGTTGCGGAGCAGATGAGGGCTTGTTGCCGTCATTAGATTAGCTTCAGACAAGAAGGAGCAGCAAAAATTATGTGTGGTTTCTCTTCCTTTTTTCATTTTATTTTATTTGAGTCAAACTGACGCCACACGCTGGGGATCTCCACTGCTCGCACAGTGATTTCGTATTCCTCAGAGGGACAGCCGTGGGTACTATTGCAGAGAGAGAGGATGCTCAGATAGTGGCTAAGTAACTGCTTCATCTACTGAAGTGGTGTTTTCGCTACGATGCTGCCGGGTGTGGGTTCGGCCCTACAGTTCTTCACCAAGACGGTAAGTTCTCTTCTTTTCACGTTCAGACCACACCAGTGCTTGAGCTGGCAGGAGTGAGCGCATCCTTCTCAGTGACACAGGCAAGTCTTGTAGAATAGTCCTCCTTCTCCTTTCTATATTACTAAACACCTGAATGCCTCCGTTGAGAATCTCCCATTATCCTGCCCAACCCACTATCAATTTCAAAGCTAAAATACCGAATATTTTCTACCCCCTGAAATCCAAATGGTCCTAGAATAAGATACTTTCCTTTAGTCAATCTTTCTTTTTTCCCCATTTTTTAAATTAAGGTATTATCTGTGTACATAGCTTACCATTGTCCCCCCCCTCCCATACCTGCCCTCACCCCCCGTGTTTTGCGTCCATTGGTTATGCTTATGTGCATGCACACAAGTCCTTCGGTTATCTCCCATCTTCCCACCTCTCCCTAACCTCCCGCCTCAATCTCTTCTTAATGAGACAGAAAGTTTTGTCTTAACTGCAGAATAATCTTATGAATGTCTCAACTCACATATATACTAAGCCTCTCATTTGAGGTAATTAGTAGAAAACAATCAAGCCCTGATTATAGTGAAAGTTAGAGAATGCTTAAATTCTATCCACTCATCACAGAATTTAAAGCATTTTAAAAGGCTACTAAGAAAACTGCCTTGTTATAGATAAACTAGCAAATACACACACACACACACACATATACACACACATACATACATACGTGTATATATATAAAAATAAAATAAACTAGCAAAATAACCAGAACTGAAAGGAGAGGGCAAAAAGATGATGTGGCTTTTATCTATCTTGTGGGCATCATTTAATAATTAATTTTTGTTGACTCAATTTTCTCCTAATTTTAAACTAACATACTCAACATTTATACCCTAGGCAAAAATGGAACTCCCTCTGCTTTTATGTTGAGTAAGACCATTTAATAGGATCAAAATGATTAAATACGATCATTGGGCAAAATATTCCTACAGCACCTGCATCTGAGATTGCAAGCGCCTTCCTCTGAACATCTCATCAATGCCAGCACTACAGTGAGACACATCACACACATGAAGGCAGCGTAAGAACCGACGGACGAGAGAATTACACACGATTTAAAAGTGGTATCTGGAAAAGCATGTTTCAGGACAACACTGATGACAGTGAAGTCTTAAAATTCAAAACTTGGTTAATCTTGTGGGCCAGAAATAAAGAACAAGCCCAATGGATCAGATCTGCACTTTTCTCACCACAAATAAGGAAATTGGATTAGATGTTTCTGGAGTTTCCTACTGCTGCAGCCAGACAACACAAAATGTACTTCTAAGGAACAGAGTATTATTTTTAAGAGATGAAAATTTTTAATGACTTTCCAAAAAATGTTTATAATTTAAAGCATGAGAATTATATTTATATTCCTCCATGAAGAGACTAGGCACTCATAAAACTTCTGATTACCTTTCCAAGGGCTACAATCTTATTTCAAAAATAGTGTTAAACTTTCCCAAATGAAGAAGTTTTTCTTAAAAGATACCTAAATGATCAGATCCCAGAACCGACAGGAGCCTTGGACAAACTTAAAATAGAGAATTTCTTTGGATAAGCCAAAGGCAACTTTTGGTAAGAAAACACTCACCCAGCCCAGCCTGAGACCGCACCTCTGCCTGTCCGGGTGGCAGCTCCCTGGGCGGGACAGGGAGCATGTGCACTGAGCTAAGCTAAGCAGCCTCGCTTACATGGCAACCACATGCTTCAGACATGAAACTGCATTGCTGAGGCTCCTGAAAAACACTGCCACACAAGCACTGCCGAGGAGGAGATAAGGCCTTCTTGAGATAGCTAACGCTTCTTAAGCAATCTCCGCGTTAAACGCCCTGCCTACGGAAAGAAATAGGATGGCCGAAGGAAGGAGTGACGACTTCAGAAGATGACGAAGCGGTTACTATGGCAAGGTAGCTGAAAATGCAGGAGAGCAAGAAGCCTGATCACTGGCTGTAGGCACCAAGGAGCTCGAATCGCTCACCTGTGTAAGGGTTTTCCTATCATTTCACCAAGTGGCGCTTTGATTGACCCACATGTAATGTAAACATTATTGGACAGACACCAAGGATGTCTAATGAGTATTGACAGGAGGCAGGAAGTCACTATACGAGGCATTCACATACTAAAAACTACTTATTTATTACATAGTGCTAGGACCTTAATAAAAATACTAATCAGCCTAGAGCTCATTCATTAAGTCTTAAAATAGGAAATTATGAATCAGTGATTTCAGGTAGCAATCACTAGCTAAAACTCAAGTTACCTCACATTCCATCCGCAGTAATGGACCAAGTAAAGGACCTCTCCACCTTCGACATCAGAATCTTTAATACTAGCTTCATACATTTTTTGATTTTTCCCTCGTCCATACCGCACTTGGACTTTCATGCCTGGTGGATAGCATTCAAACTCCTCTTCCTCGTGGTGGTCGTCCTCCTCTTCCTCCTCTTCCTCCTCGTCCTCCTCCTCCTCTTCAGCGTCTTCGTCGTCTTCCTCTTCCTCTTTATTCGTTTCATCTCTTGAAAGGTTTAAGAAATTGCAGTTAATATGGGGCCCTTCACAAGCTTTTCAGTTCCAAACCACATAAACTGATACAAATCGTGGCTGTGACTGTTCCGGGAACGGCAGGTTCCGTGCGTATGAAATGCTCTGATTTTCAATTTAATTTTAAAACTAAAACGGCATAAGACGACCATGGTTACAAAAAAGGCACATTGGAGAACAGAACATTGAGAAGTAAGTGCGTTAAAGGAAAGCTGCCGACAGCCAGACGGACAGGCGTGTGCTGCAGAGCAAGAAACAGTCAACCATTACAATTTTCTCAGGTTTTATTGTGAAAGTGTTTTCACAGCTCGGTTCGCAAAAAACAAAAACCATTACACCTCATAGCCATTTTCTGACTACAATTATTGTTGATTCCAATATTTTGAGCCTCAGGATATTTAAAGCAAAAACTTCTCCAAGCCAGTGGCTAGTCTTAGTAGCGTTAAAAAGTGCTCCGACTAAAATCACATGTATTATGTACTAAAATGTTATTGTACCTGTCACAAGTATATGCTACTAACTTCACATTCATATCCCATCAAGTTTTTTTCTCTTTATTCTTCTAAACTTCAAAATTCCTGCTCTCTTGACAATAGTCACTGAAATTCTTCTCTAACAACTCTCTCAACTTGAAGTTCCAAATGAAACTCCAAGTTAAACCACTCTGATTTTTTCAGTATCCTGTACTTTCTAAAACTGAGTATTCATATTCATTTTATATTAGCCACAAATCTGTATTGAACAAGTTGGGAAAAATCTCAAGCCATAAATCTTTCTAAGCACTAGATTGCAAAAAATCAATGCTTTGGCATGAAACTCGACATTTAGTTAAGTTTTTATCTACTCTGCAGTATATCTAAATGTATGACAATAGATTCCTCTCAAAAAGAATCCGTCACTTTATAGCTGACAAATGAATAAACATCATAGAACAGAATCACAAGACAGCTGAGCATTCAATTTTAAAAGTTAATAGAAATAATATTTATACAAAAAAGCCAACTTCCACTGATAATTTTTAATATTCTCATAAGCAACCTTTTTATCGATAACATATTTTAGCATTCCTAATTATACAGGCAACAAAAATAATATAGAAATAACAGATAAAAGCATTATAACCCTTTTTATTCTACTGTTTTCCTTGTATACAGTGAGGGATGGGAAGGGAAGCACAATACAAGTCTGACTTCATAAAAGTGTCAAATGTGTCAATTTTCTCTGAAATATATCCCAAGTCTGTAAGGATTCTCAAGAATTATCCCTCTTTTAAAGACAAATCTACAGCCAAATGAGAGAAGGCCTGGGAAGCGTGGGTGGGGAGTGGAGGGGATCAATGGGAAAAATAAAGGGGACATCTGTAATACTTTCAACAACAGATAAACAAACAAATAACAGCCAAATGAATATATACTTAAAACCTAAAGGAAACCTACTGTTGTCTAAGATAAAAAATATGAACTCTATTATTGAAAGTACATAAACAGCTTTAAAATTAAAGATCAGTAATGCTAAAATATCCAAGTAATTATCAGAAAGGGTGTTATGGATAATAAGCTATTATTAACAAGTTTAAACAAATGTTTTATCTGTGTATTACATACTATATACACATATAAAATTAAAAGTTAAAATATCAGGGGAAAAAGGAAATGTATTGTGCTGGCCACAACAAAACAAGAGACTTATCATGCACCTCAGAATCATGATATAAAAGGAGAAAGAGAGAATAAAAAGTCTAAACTTTTTAAAAAATGAAAACAACTCTAAACGGTACCTTATATCATGTAATATGCTCAACCAACTGACAAATGCCAAGAACTGCAAGCACCAGCCTACATTAAGTGGTAGCCAGAGTAATCTTTATTTAATCTGAATAAAAACTCTGTACTAACAAATCAAAACAAAAACCAAAAATTTCACATTTAATAGCAACTTCAGACAACAATCAAATAAAAGTCATGAAAATAATATACTGATGCATAGATAACAGACAACACAATTACTGGCTTGAATCAGCCATAGAAAATTCTTCTAAGAATTCAGTAGCAAAATCAGAGGTATGTGTACTAAACCAGATACAAGAAAGAATGCCAAGAAAGACAGCCTTTGAATGTGTAACATGCAACCAGCATACAGGTTAAAGAAATGAAGTTAATGAATACATTACATACATACACACACACCAGCAAGAATTTTTCATCTGAATTCACAAAGAAATATCCAAATTTCCCAGTTTGATATCACACTCCTTACAATGAAACAAATTAAAAGAAAAAAGCTACAACTTACCAATACCTAGTATGGACCAGACGTGGAAAAATGGAGGCAGGTCATTAAAAATTCTTGGTCGTAGCTAATTACTTAGTGGAAGTTATTTATCAGAGAAATACTTCAATATTAATTCTTTAGAACTGTAAAATTTTCTATTGCACTGATCTAATAAAATTCAGAAATCACTTGTGGACTTTCATTTCTAACAGAGAATGCTTCTAAAAAATATCAAACGAGGGCAGTCACACCAGGATAATATCAGTTTGTGGTATGACATATACTAGTGTATCTCTGTAGTAGGAAAGCCATATAGTTGAAGAATTAAATGAATTAATAAAGCCCTACAAAATACAGATTTTACTAATAATAATGTTTTTAAAGTACTAATGTGAAAAGTAAAGATAATTACTAGTAACAAAGAGAAAATAAAGGCTTATCAGAGTGCCTTCGACACAGATGTTCCAGAAATAGCTGCAGGTTTAAATGTCACATTTTTAGGCAGAAAGCTGAATCCTTACTAAGTTCTTTCTTAACAGTTGAAATAGTCCCCAGGAGCACCATGTATGATTTCAAATAAACATTTATATACACAGAATTATAGCCAAATATAATGAAGAAACAAATTATATTCATCTAAACCAGGGTTATTTTTTTTTTCCTTTAAATTTTATCTGCATGCTGAGGCCAAATTTGCAAAATAACACTAAAAGGATCAAGAGATTTTAGGCAAAAAAACTGGATATTCATTAAGTTTTTTAATAGTTGCAATAGCAGTAAGGAATATGTGAGAGATATATTTTTACACACAGATACGTAACAAAGATAAACACCTTTTACTATATTCATTAAACATGTTTTTCTTTTTTTCCCTCCCTCCTTGGATTCATGCTGTGGCCAAATTTCAGATAAACATTAAAATGATTTAAAAACATTGGTTGTACTTTTTGAAAAGGGCCAGCAACAGTGAGGAATGTTTAGGGTTTTTAAAGCTCAGAAATAAGATTAGACACGAAAGATCACTGGCAGTGTACAAATTACATTGCTAAATAATTCTTCATTCCAAACTAACCCCAACAAGTAAATGCTACTTGCACATAAAACACAGCATAACAATTTTGGCCTTTTAAAAACTAATTATTAGCACTTTTCCATTCTTATTTTTTTGCTTAAGAAATGAATACAACTGTCAAAATCTACAGCCAACATACCACCTACAAAACATTGGCGAAAATCATTTTCCCAAATTTGTCTTATCCGGTTATTTAGCAGAGCTTCATGTAGTAAAAAGTACTTTTCTCTAGCTGAAAATTTTATAAATTTCTATGATGAGAGCAAAAAGAATCAATCGAATATATGACCTTTTGCTACATTGGCATTGGTCGGGTCTCTGAAGTAGGCAAATGCAATTTATGTACTAAGTACAAGTCAGCCAATTACTCTATATTTTGTCAATCAAATTTCGATTCACACATACACGCACATACCGAGAGAAAATTACAGGAATTCATTTGGCCAAAATGCATCTTAACCAAAAACAGAGTTCTTACCCAGATTTTGCTTTTTCTTCTTCAGCTTCTACCTTTATGCTGAAGGATTCATCTATCCCAGTTGTATCATCATTTTTGTCCACCAGATTTTCATTTTCTTCTGCCTTTTTTATGGTAACTTCTTTTTCTTGGTCACTTTGTGTAGATATAGATTCTAATAAATTCTTTTTACTTCCCTAGAAAAAGATCAGAGCAACTAAACCAACAAAAGTAAATACTATCAACTTACATGTTGTTCTAATTAAAAAAGGTACCAACCAATACTAATATTGAGAAAGGTTTTAGTTTTTAAGAAACTCCTGCATTCTTGCCGAGACCGGTTTGGCTCAATGGATAGAGCGTCGGCTGGGGACTGAAGGGTCCCGGGTTCGATTCCGGTCAAGGGCATGTACCTTGGTTGCGGGCATATCCCCAGTAGAGGGTGTGTAAGAGGCAGCTGATCAATGACTCTTATCGATGTTTCTATCTCTCTCCCTTTCTCTCTGTACAAAATCAATAAAAAAATATTTAAAAAAAAAAAAAAGAAACTCCTGCATTCTTAAAAACACTAGGCAAAACTATTGAACAGCTATTTTAAACACAAAAATAGAAATTACTGAAGAAATGCACAATCTAAGTATAAAAGTATACAATAAATTAACAAATCTTCAGAGTATGTAGAAAATTTACCAAAGGTGGCAAAGGACAATATTGATTTACCAGAAAGGGTTTAATATTTTCCTTTCTTTCACCATCATCCTCAGTAGGCTTTTCTTCTTTTATTATCATCTTTTCTTCCTCTTCAATCTTTATTTCTTTCACTTCTGGTTCACCTTCTTCCTTAACTTTTATTTCTTTTACATTTTCACACTCCTTACATGGCTTGTTAGCAACTTTCTCTGGCAGTGCCATCTGAAATTCAATATTGGCCGACCTACAGTACTCCTCAAAGCCATATAAGTATCTAGAAACATGGAGAGAAATTACATTCAGGAAAAATTTTGAAATATTACTGTAGAGTTGTGGTTATTTAAATTTGTCCATTTCTCTTGGTTTGCAGATATTGAAGCCTTATTAACATTCTCATTTATTCTAGTTCAGTTCTTCCCAATCTTTTTAAACCAAACAGAAAATTTTCAAAGAAAGTTTCATTAAAAAAAAACTATGCTAAAAGTGAAAAGACAGTCATAATCTTAAATATACTCACTGTAACAACAGTAGCTTTTACAAGCTCTAGTGACAGCATGTTTGTTGAGTGCTTCTTTATAAGCCAGGCTTTGGGCCTCTAAGCACATCTAAAGCCTCATTTAATCCTCAGAGTAATCCTATGAAGCAAGCAGTAGTCTCTTCTTCTACAGATGAGGAAACTGAGGCTTAGGAGAACAAAGGAATGGTCCTAGGACACCCATCGCTAGTAACTGGCAGGACCAGGAATCAAACTTGTGTGTACCTATCTTTCAAAACGTTGGCATTTTAACCTAACACAGTACTTTCAAAACTTACCTGGCCACAAAAACTGCTTCACAGACTATCTCATAGATCTAGTGTTCACAGAATACTCTAGAAAATGTCATATTATAGAGTGATTGCTCTAGCGAAAATTTCTGATTTCTTCTTAGAGCCTCAGTTATGGGATACATCCCATCCTGCTTTCTGGATAAAACAGGGAATATAGCTATATCAAGTACACCGACTTACTTTTTATAAGCACATTTAACATTGTACCCTGCAGCTGAGTTTAAGACAGGGATTCCAAGGTCTTGGTAGACTTGCTTCCAAACAGCTCCACTTTCAATCTAATGGACAAAGTGAAATGAAAACTTCCAAGTTAAAGGTAAGAATATAAAAATATTTATAAACATAGTATATATAAATGTTTATATTTATTGGTTTTAGTCTCAAATGGATGAAAAATATCCATCTCAATAAATACTAAAAAAAAAAATTGATTCACAATATTCTAAAGTTTTAGTATTCTAACAAATCTCAGAGAATTAATAAATGTTGAAATATTATAACATTTCATTTTAAATAAATCCTGTTATAGTAAATTAGAAAATGTCCAAATTCCTAATCAAAATTTACAATGAAGAAACTGAGACAGAAATTTTAAAATGATGTATCATGTCCCATAAAACTTACAAGCTAATAAATCAAAGCAGTCCTTATGGCTTTTACTAAAACATTTGATTCTACAGAAAAAAATTTTTCAGTCTTAATTAGATGAGCATCATTTAACATGGCAATCTTAAGATAATTTCTTCTAGTTCAAAAAAAGATGTTCTGGATGTTTCTATAAATAGATATATAAATGATATGTTTTATATAGCAGGCACAGTGGAAGAGATTCAGATATAAAGATTAACACAGATCCATGCTCCCACGTATGGTACAGTTTAGTGGGAGACATAAGCAAAAATTTCCATCGATATACCGTAGTTATGCTGTGACTTAAGACATAACTAGGTGGTTTATGAAAGTTTGACAAACTTAACAACAGTAAGTCAGAAAGCTCATTTAAAAAAATCTTTAATTGAATTTAAATTTGTCCTGAGGAAGCCAGCTCTGTTTCTAACCTGTCACTTCCATTTTTTTATTCATTGGAATAAATAATTTTAGATGAGAAAACATATGTAAAAACATGTTTCACTTTTGAGTGTAATACTTACATTATCAAATCCTCCAAGTTTGTGTACAAGTCTGAATAACTTAAAGAGATTCAAATTTCTATATCCAAGCACAGGTCGTTTGTTAATAGGTGTGCCTGTTAAGGAAAACACAAAATATATTAAAATCACACTGCATTTTTTATTTAAAATTTCAAAAGATTCAAATACAGTGCAGTGAGTGTATGCATACACACCCAAAGTGGGACCAAAGTAGCTTTACAGTTGTGAGTATAAAACAGTTTATTCTTATATGATTATTTATTAACTTATTGCATTTTCCATACGAACAACTGTAAACCAATTTTTGTCCTACGCTGCATATAAATGGCAGGGGGGAAGGAGGTATTCTAAAGTCCATATCATTAACATTTTTCTCCCTCTTACCAGGTTGTTGAAACCTTATATGATTTCATTCCACTATTACTCTCCTTATGAGTTAAAGAATAAATACCAAAGAAAGGATAATAATAATTTGAAAAATCAGGGAAACAAGATTTGGTAAAACTGCTGAAATGATGGGCAACTGCTTCACATGGCGTTATCTTTATGATGCCTTCTTTGCATTTTAAAGATTTTTTCTTTAATGATGAGAGAGAAATATCGATTTGTTGCTCCACTTACTTACGCATTCATGGTTGATTCTTGTATGTGCCCCGACACAGGATTGAACCTACAACCTTGGCATATGGGACAACACTCTAACCAACTGAGCTGCCAGCCAGGGCTTCCTTTCTTTGCATTTTACTAAATTATTACTTCTCTAAGTGATTCTAGAGTAAAGCTATAGTTTTCTTTCATTCTAATACGGAAAAATGTAGGGCAAGGACACGAACTATTATACCTTTAGAAAAGGTAGAGGAAATAAGGAACAGAGCTACTCAACCTATGGCCCTTTTCAAAAAATATATAACTGGCATAATCGTATTTTATCACTGTTCTAATATTAGATTTTATTCATCACCTTTTATCTATGTCACATAAAAGCCTAAGAAACAGCCTACCTTCTTAGGCCAAGCCTGCATTTATACAAAGAAATAACACAGGAATCAAGGACAATGTATATTCTATAAAAAGATAACTACATGATAGTAGCCACTTATCATTTATGAAAGCAAAAGACAAACAGAGCCAGCTTCTACTCATCAGCAAGCAAGCAAAGATTTAAAAATAACTAGAGTCAAGTGGCATTTCCACATCTTATTCATTCATGTCCTTCTCCTCAAGGTAGAGAGCTTTCTGCTTCTCCCGACTCCTTTCCCTTGCTCCCATCTTCCCAGAAAGGAGAACCTACACTCTGACCAGATGAGCAAGAGGGTAACGGTCCCGTAGGTCTGGAGAACTGGGGTACCACTACAGGCCAGCACCTCTTCCTCTTTCCCCCGGCCCTGCATCTATGTAATAACACTAGGCAGGTTCAAGGAGCTAAGCCAAGCTTCACCTTGTAACACTGTCACATTTCTTTACTTCTAGCTGTGTGTGTGCGTTCATTCTCTTAGCTGTGAGGCTGAGCCTTATGAAAAGACTTAGGGTCCATCTTAGAGTGTAGCCACCTGCCTGCCTCCCCCCCCCCCCCCCCCTCTCTCTCTCTCTCTCACACACACACACACACACACACACACACACACACACACACACACGTGTCAAACAGTGGTTGTGGCATCTATGTAGGTGCAAATACGATGGTGCTGCTATGATCCCCGCTCTGCTGCTGCTCCCTAGCATCTGAGCTCTTTGGTAGAAGAGCAGGAAGGGGAGTGAAGAAACAACAGGACAGAACACAGGCACTGATGGGTCCACGGCCATGACATCCATCAAAACACTGTCCAAGTCCTCATTCCCCTTTCCACGTGACAGACACATGCGAGGTGCCGGTGATATTGACAATCAAAAGGATGGCCAGGATTACCAGGAATAGGAAGCTTAATGAACAGAATTATTATTTTTAAATTATTAACTATGTATCTGATACCCGCAATATTAATGATGAGAGAGGGGAAAAAGAAAGGAAACACGCTCACCTCTATCCTCCATGAATTTGTACAACTGCTGGAGAAAGTTTTCTCTTTCTTCTGGAAATGGTTCTATTTCTTCCTAGTTTTAGTCACAGAAGAATAGAATATTATTTTGCTCAGTTAAGCATTGAATAAAACAAGCAGATTTCCTACCAACAGCAAAGACTAATACTCACTACAATATTTCAAAGGTTTTTTTTTATCAAATACAAATGATTTCTCAATACTAAGCTGTCCGAACCCAGAAAATTCTAGACGTTTTAGGCTTTAGAGTGAGAGGAATGTGCCCTAACAGGTATCTCCAAAGTGACAATCCCCAATGTAAATTCTCACATAAGAAATGAGACTACAAAGATGGGTTATCTCACGTAAGAGATCAAGGCTTTAAATCAGGGTCACAGGCTCAAGACGTAAGCTCACGTCTATGAAATTGGGTCCGGGTTTAATTTCACATCAAAACTGACTGATTATCGCTCCTCAGAGAACTGTACAGGTGTGCATCCCAGTAGCGGTAACTACAAGTGTCCATGATTACACACACCCCCACTGTGAGTCCTGCAGGCGTGCCAAATCAGTAGAGTGGGGAACAGACTCGATCTACAAGACCTGAAGATTCAGGCTTAGGGAAATCTTCAAGTAATAAAATAGCTCCCCAATTTAGCAATTACAAGGGCTGTGGCAGTGGGGAGCGGTTCTGAAGCATCCTGCAAGGAGCAGGGAGTGGGTGAGAGGGAGGCAGGCATCCATGCGGTGACCAGCATCCACTCACAAACATTCTGTGAGCACCGGCAGGTGGACACGGTAGGTCAGGTGCTGAGTCAATGAGAGGAAGAGGAGCGATGGCGAAGAGTAACTTCAGGAAGTGGCCTGAACGAGACAGCATGGCAACAGTTACTCCGGCTGAGGCCAGTGTCTCTCTGATAGTAAAGGCAGGAGCAGACTTTGAAATTGAGAGTCTAAATAAATCACTTTCCTTTTTAAAACTATATCTGATGCCATTGTTTGAATGAGATTTGCCCCTGTATTTTATACACTAGCAGGGCAGAGGAAGGCCAGTTAAAAATAAAAACTCATGTTGATAAGCCATCAGGCTTGCTAGCGCGGCAGAGGAGAATAAATGACAATTATGAACCTGTTTAGGATAAATCTACATTTCTCAAATCTCAGTTTAAACATGGTCCACATACGCTGTGTGTCGGTAAAGCAGTCAGAGGTAAGTCTAAGGAAACCTATTTTCTAGCTATCACCTAATGTTCCCACGGTACAATATCTGGCTTTCATGAACTGCCAAATTAGCCGAAACCGGTTTGGCTCAGAGGTAGAGCGTTGGTCTGCGGACTGAAAGGTTCCAGGTTCGATTCCGGTCAAGGGCATGTACATTGGTTGCGGGCACATCCCTGGTAGGGGGTGTGCAAGAGGCAGCTGGTCGATGTTTCTCTCTCATCGACGTTTCTAGCTCTCTATCTCTCTCCCTTCCTCTCTGTAAAAAACCAATAAAATATATATATATTTTTTAAAACTGCCAAATTAATTCCTGTCGCAAAATTTTTAAGCCAAGTTTTTATATATGACACAAAAAGATGTTTAAACTGGAAACCAGATTTGCTTTTACAAAAACACCAATCTAAGCACCAACAGTTTGGTGATTAACATTTGCTGATCATCTGTTACATGTTACACACATGTCAGACACTGTGAATGTGAGTACAAGGAAGGCCAGGTCCCTGCCCTGGAGGAGCTGATCGATGGATCAGTAGGGGATTAAGAAACAGACATACGTCAATGTACTGATGTATAAAATATGTACAAGGACCGGTGGTAGTTTAGACTAGCAAACCGAGTGGTTAACTTTCCTGAGGTGAGAAAGGGATGGTTTGCAGAAGGTTTCCGCTTACCATGATGAGGTCTGAAAACTGAACAGGAGGGTGCCAGGCTGACTGAGGGAGGGGAGGGGAGGGCAGGGCACTGAGGGTAGAACTCCTGGTATGCCCAAAGGTGAGTAGAAGGAGGTATGTGATTTTAGCATTTTAAATAGAAAGCAGTGGAGAGAAGACTTACACTACGCATTGTCACCATAGATCGCTTATCATTAAGCAATCCCATGCCTATGATAGTGATGTGGCAGAATCTCATAAGTCCTTAAAATATTACATAGTGAAATTAATTTGGTTTCCTGAAAACATTAAATACATTTCTCTTCACGGTCAAATATACTAGCCTTCGCTACCTGTACCTCTTGCCCAGTAACTTTCATGAAGTCGCTCAACAAACCGTGCAGAGTACAGCGGTGTAATGTCACTAGCAATATCATGGACATCTTTTCTTGGCACCTGTCACTGCTAGACCTGAAGTACTAGCTTCTTTATCTATATAAATTCAGATCTTATGATCTTATCAGAATGACTCATCTATTTATATTAGATAAAATCATTGAAGATTCTCATTAACCTTTACTTTTTTACTCACTCTTTTAATACTAGATGGAATATATATTTTATACTTTCCTAGGTATTTCAATAGAATACGCAGATGTAGTGTGAACAATGTATGAGGCGACAGCTATCTACAGAGCAGTGAAAAGCGTGTGAAGGTTTTACCATATTAGATGGGTATTTCCTTAATCATCTGTTAAACCAAAAGCAGAGTAAAATTAAGAAACGTTTCTGAGGTTATCGGGAGAACTATGCTTATTTTTCATTTCACAAGGCCATATATCTATTTTAAGGTAAGCAAGCAAACTACTTGATTACGATGAGTATCACAGATACAATTTTATTATGAAGTATTTCTAATACTAAAAATATTCAAGTAATTAATGACTTATGCGCCAAATTCTAACTCAAAGAAAACCAAACTGTGACTTCGATGTAAAGGCCTCCGCTGTTTTCACTCACCTCCTCCTCACTGCCGTTATCCTCCTTTTCTTTCTCATCCTCCTCCTCCTCTTCCTCCTCCTCCGCCTCGCTGCTGGAGCTGTCCTCTTTCAATTCCGTCTTCCAGGTGGCAGGGATGGCTCTGCTTCTGTGAAACTCCAGCGCCTGGTCAAAGGCTGGAAAGAGACCATGAACTATGTGTCTTGTCTCCAGATAGTAAGCAAAGAAATGAAAACCACTGCGTAATCCCGCTGACAGCTCTAAGTGCCCGTTGTGTGCCAGGCACTGAGCTAACGGCTTTTCCGTATAGCGGCTCATTTAATCCGCTCAGGCAGCCATTTTATAGCAGGGCAAAACTGCCACCATTGGAAGGGGACCTAGGTTCTAACAAACACAAAAGAGCAGTTTTCCTTCTTTTAAACAAAAATTAAGCATGTCTAATAAAAACAAATTTCAGTTAGGTAAATCTTTCATTGTTTACCCAACAAATGACAATTAAATAGAATCACATGCCAGCCAGAACCACTGTAATGAACGTACAATACCTGAAAATATATTTTCTCTACATCTCTAAACTTAAATTATATTAACAATTAACTTCAATTAAATTAGTTCCGAAGTTATTCTCTTTTTACAATACATGTAAATAAATTCTTGACGATTTTTAACTCTTCCATACAACATATAATTAGATTTGATGAATATAGGCAAAGAGAAAATAAACAGCTATGTACAATGTCAAAAATCTAATAGGAAATGCAATTACAGCATTTAATATAACCACTGAATAATATAATAAGTATAACTATTGTCATGGCATGAGACATGCCAAATCAAAGTTATTTTGATTCCTGTTTCTACCATCCTCGGGAACTAACATTTTATTTAGAGGCGAAAGCCAGACTATAGCAGTAGCTGCTGGTATGGTTCTTTCACACTTTAAATAATATTAAGCTGGGGAAAAAAAAAGGAAACCATGACAACAAAAGACACATGGGCTTACAAAGACAAAGTCACAGAAAACTAAGTACAACTTTAAAGGCAACGTGTTCAAAATATCCCTTTTAAAGAAGATCTCATTGAAAGTATTGCAGAGGTCCCCTTTCTCCCCTGGACCACCTCCACCCTCCACCCATCCCCCTCACCACTATGGTCTGTGCCCACGGGCTATGCATGTATGCACCCAAATTCTTTGGTTAATCTCTACCCACCCTTCCACCCCCACCCCACCCCACGCCCACCTACGAGAATTTAATCTCCAAAAACACTATCAGTCCAAGATTGCCTTACCTTGTTTTAATGCAGCATCAGGCTTTGGTGCAGAGTCACTCGTAATTTCATGGACATCCTTTCTGGGTACTGAAGTACTGTATTATTTTTTCAATTTTAAAGGAAAAAACACAAAAATACAACAGAAATTAATGAAGAGCCTAATTACACATCACAGAAAGCTACTAACAATATGGGGATACTGACATTTATACAAGGTCGCAAGTTACAGATAAGATGTTAATAAGATGTTAATTCAAGATGGGTATCTACAAAAGGACCCCACCTTGAATAGAGATTAACAAGGTATCTCAAATTATCAGATTATCCCTAGCTAAAAGCGATAAAATTCTAAATGAAAAGTACTGAAATACTAAAAATAACAACAGATAAAAATGTCTGGGTAGCAGAATGCATCAATCCAATAAATAAGAAGTCAAACAACAAGAATGTGCCATTATCTTGGAATAATCATAGGAAATCACTAAATTTAATATTGGAAGAAAATGTACTAGTTTATAATGTAAATGCTCTCTTAACAAAATTTTAACTAGATTTTAGACTAAAGTCCTCAAGTATAAAGAGGGATCAGATGTAAGCATCTCTAAGAGGTTCTATCATATATGTCATGTATATTTCCTGTCTGACACTGATAAATCATTCTTCAGCTTTCCCACATTTGGTTTGTGTCAGTCAATCCACAAAAGCCTAAAAACAATTCCAGATACAATTTTCAGCTTGCCTATTCCTTTTAACCTTTCATTTTTAAAATCTCATACACAAAAGTAGGCCAAATAGTGCAAAGATGTCCCACATATCCATTACCCAACTACGATAATCATTAAATAACTCATCTTCACGCTCATACCCTTACCTACTCCCTCCTTCCTGAATTCGATTTTTTTGAAGCAAATCTCAGACATGTAATTTCATTATGGAGCTTCAAAATTCTTTTTTAAAAATATCATACCATTATCAAACATTTAAAAACTAGTAATTTCTTAATATCATCAAACCATTATTCAATTTCAGTGTTCCAATTTCTCTTATCTTCGTTTACATAGGTTTTCATAAATCACTTTTAAGGACCTGAAAACCCAAACACCAATCTTAACATATGATCATCCTTTAAAGACATAGTCATTCTATAAGGCAGAGTATAAAAGGTATGGCTTTTCTGGTCATACAATTCTTAAAGGGAAAAGAATAGAAATTTGTAACTCAGTTCTAAGAAAGTTCTATATGAAAAACATCTTTAACACTCAAGATACAATTAAAGAGTCCTAATTAAATATTCAAGAACAATAAATGTATCCACTAATATATCAATCAAGGGTCAGATATGGTAGATATATCAAATTTGCCTAAACAAATCACCAGCTATTACACAAGCAAAATTGACAAATTTGACAATACTGAGAGTGTAGGTTAGCAAAGATCATCATGAACAAGCAAAGACATACTACATTTACTAATAATATGAAAAATGATCTTACTTTGAAACTTTCTGAATGACAAAAAGCAAAGGGTAATGTCACTGGAAATAAATTTATAATTTACCATTCTAATGTGGAAAAATAGCATCTTTTTCACAAGTGAATTACACTTACAATTTTCCATCCTTGAAAGATCGAACAAGAATATTATCTTTCTTCACAGCGATTTCATCACTACAATCAGGACAAACCACCTTTTTAAAAAAAAGGGTGAAATTATGGTAAGTAAATGCACGTTTATGGATAGTTACAATAGAACCAATTATTTAAATCCTTTCAGAAAGTAGTTTCAGCTTAAAAACTAAATTTAGTTTTAGGGCAAACAGGTACACACATGTGGACACAGTTGCCAGTAATCTGAAATGCATGTCCTACATCCTCACAGGCCTATGGATCACCCACAGGACAGGACCCAAAATGGGATCAGGTATTAAAACCTTAATGAGCCGAAACCCATGTGGCTCAGTGGTAGAGCATCGGTCTGCGGACTGAAAGGTCCCAGGTTCGATTCCGGTCAAGGGCATGTATGTTGGTTGCGGGCACATCCCCGGTAGGGGGTGTGCAAGAGGCAGCTGGTCGGTGTTTCTCTCTCGTTGACGTTTCTAGTTCTCTATCCCTCTCCCTTCCTCTCCGTAAAAAAAAATCAATAAAATATATTAAAATAAAAAAATAAATAAAAAATAAAACCTTAATCAGTACGGTCTCCATCCGTAAAAAAAGCTAGAGATGAGGCTCTATATTATTTACAGCTAAGTAAGTATTTTAAAACACATTATGTTTCTTTGTAATACTACCCACTCTAAAAAGTAAACACTTCCAAGTGGGTACCTTTCTGGAGTCCGTATAAGATTTCCTACTAACATTAAAAGGTCTATTTTATTGGAAGTAGCCTCAGCTGGTATTTACAGTGAGGATAAAGCACGTTTTCCCAAAGGCAGCGCCAACATAAGCCGCCTATGAATTTCGTCTTTCTTAAAGGACTTCCAGAGTTCCTTGTACTCGGAGGCCATTCTGAGAGCTAACCTTTCTCCGGACTGAATGACGCTAAAACCAGTTCCCCATTTTGCTCCGATGAAAAACACTGAGACAAACAGTTGCGGTTTTTTTCATGAACTCATGTAGTTGAAAATGAAACTCTTTTATGTTGAAGTTACTCACCAAAGCAGGAAAACACACTGCTTTCTTTTTGTCCAAACTAACGTAATCGACACAAACAACTTTTCCTAGGAGCTCATCGATCTGCTTCCTGTCATCCTCATCTTCATCACTGGAGGATGAAGAGGACTCTTCCTCTGGTCTAGGGAAAGGAAACAGGAAGATATTTCCATTTACCTTACAAAGAATAAGCACACCAAGTTGACAAGATATTCTAGAATTTATTTCCCATTTCCTAATACCTTCAAAATGCTAAATTAAGTTCCTAAATTTCTAATGAACACCAACATAAAAGGAATATTATTAAAAAACATATCAATTTCCTAAAAATATTTCCCATTTTTATGTAGTGCTATTTTAAACAATTAAGGGAAAGATCAGAACAGACTAACATTGATCCCCAAATTCTCAAAATGCTGAAGGCCCCATATAAAACACCCCCATGCTATCCATAGTAAAATATATTAGATCCTACATTCAGATTAAAAAAGTTATAGACATAGTAATTTTACAATCTCAGTACAAAGCTAATTTTAAAAGAAGGCAGGCAGATCTTTATTATGGGAAGTCAGGGAAGAGAAGAGACAATCTGATAAAAGATCATCACTGTTATTCTCAATATCAAATTTGCACAAATATTCATAAAATGCACAATATGATTCTTTTGTATTGTTAAAAATCCCTTCCAGTTACATTGTATATTGAACTAGTAAATTAGAAAGATGTTAGAAAAAGGATCTAAAACTGTCTATTTGATATTAGACAAAAGTAGAGTAAAAAGTACTAGTAAGAAGGACAAAAGAAACACAAAACAAAAGAAGTTCTACTGAATCTGCTTCAGAGAAAGCCCACAATCAGGTTGTGGGTTCGATCCCCAGTAAGGGATGTGCAGGAGACAGCTGATTGATGTTTCGCTTTCATCAATGTCTCTCTCTCTATTCCTCTCTTTTCCTCTCTCTCTAAAAAATGAAATTAAAAAAAAAAAAGCTCATTCAGCTAGAGTTTTATGGATGCCCTTTATATCATCATCATTAGCAAGAAAGTCACAATGTCACAGATAACATTCATCAAATCTATAAATCATAGAAAGAGAGAAACTGGGCTCTGTATCTTATGAAAGTTCTAATTTCTTTCTTAAGACTTAACAAGGGTGAAGGCTTCAGACACCAGGAAGATACATATAAACTGATTGGCAACATAAAACGGAGTAAATGTCCACATTCCACTCAAACCCATTCTCTGTTTATGGACTAGATCCCCTTCCCTCCATCATCTCCTCAGACTTTGTTCCAGCAAGGCTTGTCTCTCTCCTGCCTCATCTGCTGCCTCTGCTAGAGTGAGTCTGGCCAGCAAGCTGTTATTTGCATAGAATGTTGTTATTTATCCTCAAATAAAAACCCCCTGACGGCCCTTCAGCTACTGCTACACCTCAGCTCTCCACGCCCTCTGGCACCAGAACAGCCTGGGGGCCCTCAGCTTTCACTTCCTCTAAAGTTCTGCTCCTACGTCATCTCAGTTAAGCTACCCTGACCACTTCATTCAAATGTACAACCCGCCACTGACATTAGATAAATGCAAAGAATTTAAAGAATTCAGAGGAGCTGAAACCGGTTTGGCTTGGTTTGGCTCAGGCCTGCGGACTGAAAGGTCCCAGTTTGATTCCGGTCAAGGGCATGGACCTTGGTTGGGGGCACATCCCCAGTGGGGGGTGTGCAAGAGGCAGATGATCGATGATTCTCTCTCATCGATGTTTCTCTCTCTCTATCCTTCTCTCTTCCCCTCTGTGAAAAATCAATAAAATATATTTAAAAAGAAAAATAAAGAATTCGGAGGATAAAAATTGTATCTGTTTTCAAAGAAAGAGTGGAGAGATAAACGGTTCACATAAAAATGGGAGCATTTCCATTGAGAACTGAAGAATGAGTGAGGCAGCGTCATGGAAGGTGGCATTGGAGATAAAGAAGCATGGTATCAGGAAAATAAAGGATGTATTCAAGGAATGTTGGGCCGTTCCATTTTGACTACAGCATCACCATCCATGAAGGGAGAAATAAGAGGTAGACACCCAGCTGCTAAGGTTGGCTGAACATGGATAACCTCAAGAACCTGCGCTAAGGAATCTAAAATTACTGGTAGATTCAGTTAGCATTTTTGAAATTAATTTAAAGTTAGTAACTATCACAACAGCACTAGGAGAAATGAATTCAGGTTTAAGGAACAGGCATAAAGACGGACTTACATATGATTAGATCTTCTTCCTCTATTTGTTTTCTTTCCTATGACTGGAGTGCCAAAATGTTCAGGGTTGGTGAGCGGGAGCTGGTCTAGAGTCTGCGGGTAAGAACATAAACCCAGAAAAAGTTATCACATTGCAAGTTCTTTCTTCTTTTCAAACCAGTTTAAGAATATACTTAGAAGGAAAAAAATATATACTTAAATTCTGACATTAAAAGCATCCAAGAAGACTAAATATTACCTCCCTAAAGATAGAAAACTCATTTTAGAGATATCAGAATAAAGATGATTGGTCCCATTACTGAAAAAAAGGTAAAAAGAAAATGAGCCGTTCTCTTTAGATGATTTCTCTATCTATTTGAAGGCTGACAGACTTCTAACAATGATTAAAATACAGAACAAAACAAACACCGCTCAGTGGAAGCAGTTTTGAGAGGTAAGACACCTATATGTAAGGACCGAACTAACCCCTACGTTAAGGCCAACTGCAGCTCAAATTTTTCTTTGCACGTAGGGATTCCTAACGTATTAAATAAAATAATAGATGGCCACCTGTTACATGGCTACTTACTTCACTTTCAGCAAAATGCCTCTCTCCTTTCAGGCACAGGGAGGACCGTCGCAGCGTCTTCTCATCTCCATCATCGAAAACTAGGAGAGGAGGGGAAAATGGAAACTGCTGAGGAGTTTTTCAAAGATTAACAAGATAAAGAAATCATTTCATTTTCCAGGCGGAAATAGAGCTATTTGTTGTTTTAGACGATTACATTAGAAATTCAGGTCACATTTTATGTTTTCTAAGAAACAGCTTCAAACACTGAGTATCTTTTCCCATCTCTAGCAAAAAAAGAAACAATATACCTTAAATGAAAAGCCTTCTTCCCTCAAACAGAAAACACCAAATAAAAACGTTAGCATTTCAGTATGAAGCCATTTAAGTGCTAATTAACCCTTCTCAATGTGGTAAAGGAAAAGCAAGTTTTCCTGCTGGTAAGAACCTACAGATTTAGCAAAGAAACAGAAAAAACACAAACTGATATATTCAGTCCGCCATTAAATAATTACTCTATTTTTATTGAAAGCAGGGTTTTTCAACCACAGCACTACTAACATTTTGGACCAGATAATTCTCTTAGGCGGGGGGAGAGGTAGGCTGTGCTGTGCACTGTGGAATACTGAACAGTAACCTAGGCCAATAGATGCCATTAGCACCCCCTTCCCAGCTGTGATAATCAAAAATATCTCCAGACATCGCCAAGTGTTCCCTGAATGGTGAACTTGCTCCCGGTTGAAAACTACTTATTTAAAGTACTAAAATGTCCCACCAAATTTACTGTAAGTTTATATATACACTGAATATACGTATATTTTGTGACATAGTAAAGATATGAGTAAAACTGTATGAGGAAAGTACTTGCAACGAAAGCAGCAAGGAGTTAATATTCAGAATATAAAAAGAACTCACAAACTAAAAATAATAAGAAAGTGTGACTCAACAAGATAAATATACTTGAATGTACACTTAGAAATGGTTAGGGTGGCCCTGGCTGGGTGGCTCAGTAGCTTGGAGAATCGTCCCTTACACCAAAAGGTTGCAGGTTCAATACTCTTGGTGAGGGCTAATATGGGAGACTCGATGTTTCTCTCTCTCTCCTTCATCTCTCTAAAATCAATAAACATATCCTATGGTGGTAATTTAAAAAAATGGTGAAAATAGAAAAATAAATTTCTCTAAGTTACATTTTGAAATGAAAAAAGCTAGAAATCCAATTCTATAATACACTTAGTGGCCAGATTATCATGCATTCAGAGATCATAATAATCTGGCCACTCAGTGTATGTATAACTAAATAATTTCAAGTAATATGTTATGCAAAAATTAATAAAATAAAATTTTTAATCAGGAAAGATAACCATTAACAGTGATATCATTTATGGTACTGGGGAGGAAGTAAATCAAGGAAACGTTGCTTAGGTTGTATTATTTTTGAAAATACATCTTTAAATGCTGGATCCCCTTACCTACAGTATACCAACTCGCGTCTGTTAGTTTATTGATGACAGCTTCCTGATATGTCCCATCAAGATTCTTCACTTCCACTGGAGCTCCAACCTAAAGTATTTTTAAAAAGTTAGAAAACTTTTAGAAGGTAAGTGAACGAACCAAAAACTGGTTTTATTTTTTTTAATTGAGTGCGCGGTAGTAAAGAATAAAACTACTGATTTGTGTTGCAGTACCAGCAGTTTTACACCACTGTTTCTGTGGCATCAGTGACAATGTCAACATAGTAAAAAGGCAAATACTATGTAAGAATGATTATGAAAACAGTTGTGCCCATTTTTCCCTAAAAGGGTCTTGGGAACCCCCAGAGTCCTCAGACCTCACTTTGAGAACTGGAATCACCACATGAGAAACCAACTGTCCTGCCCGTTATGACCACTCTCCTTTGGAGGAGGAAGGCGAGGAAAATGGAATAGCTCTGAAGTCTCCTTAAGAGTTAAAATGTAAAACTAATGACAATCATTTAAAAGTTTCCATTTGATCAAGAAAATACTGGGTTATATTTACATGGTCTTTAAAACTGCATCAAACTAAAAAACTTCCACACAGGAGAGAAAACTATCAAGGAAATGAAAACACAACCTACTGAATGGGAAAAGTATTTGAAAATCATTAATCTAATAGAGGGTTTAATATCTAAAATATATGAAGCACTCATACAATTCAATAGCAAAATGAACTATCGATTAAAAAAATGAGCAGAGTGTCAGGCTGGTGTTGCTCAGTGGGTGAGCGTCCATTTATGAACCAGGAGGTCACAGTTCAATTCCCGGTCAGGGCGCATGCCCAGGTGGCGGGCTCAAACCCCAGGAAGGGGTGGGCAGGAGGCAGCCGGTCCATGCTTCTCTCTCGGCATTTTATCTATTAATGTATTTAGAGAGCAATACATACTTATCAATTCAACAACAAAATAGTCAACGAATTAAAAAGAAATGACCGGGTATAATTTTAATGTTTACCAATAAAGCACTGGAATTACTAATGAATAAATAAATGAATTACCTTTAGCGGGCCCTTTATGTGGTCATCCTGAACTTCCACTGTCGACGAATCATGCCGAAATGTCACCTGGAGATGATGAATTTAATTAGACACATGCACACACACACAATACCAAGTCTGCAAAGTACAGTGTCCTTCTGTATACTGCCCGGACCGAGTGCTCAGTGGGCTCAAGTGGCATTCTATCACCAAAAGGTGGTGGATCTGATTCCCTGACAGAGCACATAACCAGGTTATGGGTTCGATCCCCAGGAAGGGTTTCTGTGGGAGGCAGCCAACCCATGTTCCTCTCTCACATCAGTGTTTCTCTCTCTCTCTTCTTCCTCTCTTTAAAACCAATAAAAACCATATCCTGCCCTGGGTGGTGTGGCTCAGTTGGTTGGACCATCATCCCATGCACCAAAAGGTGGCAGGTTCCATCCCTGGCTGGGGTGCATGCAAAGGCAGCCAATCAATGTTTATCTCTCACATAGATGTTTCTCTCTTCCTCCCTCCCTCTCTCTAAAATCAATTTTAAAAAAAAATCCTGGGGTTTAAAATATGTGTGTATCTATAATAATAAAAGCCTAAGAGACCACTGCAACCAAACCGACAATCGGACAGACGCATGGGCCGACCAGGCCTGCAGGGGTGGGGGGCAGCTGGGGGCAATCAGGCAGGTGAGCAGTTAGGAGCCAGTGGTCCCAGAATGTGAGAGGCAGTAGGACATCCCCAGAGGGTCCCGGTTTGGAGAGGGTGCAGGTGGGCTGAGGAGAACCCTCCTCCCCTGTGCACAAATTTCATGCACCGGGCCTCTAGAATATATATAATATTGATCTAACTTCATTCCAGTAAACTACTTCCAATCACAAACAGTAACTTTTTTCCCAGGTATTTTCACAGCCATTACTCCTACAAACTAAGCTAATCTTGCAGGAAAAAAAAATTGTTAAATATACTCATCAAAGTTTAAACAGTAAATACTGGACATGTAATTTATAAAATCACGTAGACTGTACCTTGACTTTGACAAGTCTCTTTGCTGTCTTGATCTTGGCTTCACAGAAGGCTCCTCTGTACTTGGCACTCACATCAGTGCCCACTGTCAAATAGGGAGGCTCATCCAGGGCCTAACAATGCAAACAAATCAGATTTAAACTCTGGTTCTTTCCCACGGCCAGACCTCAAAATGGCAGATCAAATCTCATTATAGCTATAAAAGCTGTGATAACTATGTATGTTAACAATCTACAAAATACACTAACTTAAAAATAACTAAAAATGTATATCAAAGTCTACTTAAATGTACTAAATGTACATGATATAAAATATAAAGGCATCTTTTCCTATTAAAATACACATGGTTCATAATATGAATTTGCTCAATCACAAATATATGCCGTTCCTTCATGCCCCCCTCTGTTCACCATCCATTCAAATATATATTTATTACATGACCACGAAAAAGCAGGTTCTTAAAGCTCAAAGTCGGAGATATTTTCTTCTCACAGGCTATATCTTTGTAGGCACCCAAATTCAGAATCTATCACTACCTCCACAACTTTCAGACAGAATGGCATAAACGGAGCAAGAGGAATCACATGTATTCAAACTACAAAATCCAGTCTAGATAGTCCCCGATAAAACTTAGCCAAACGTCTCTAATGCTTTAATGCATGGGTCACTGGCTTTTAATAATCCTAAAGTAGCTGCTCTGACTTTTTACAATCAGGTAAATAGTACTTTTGTATAGGATCTGTATTTCTAATAAGTTCTGCTTATATTAATCAATTCCATAGCCAAAGAAAGATTAAGTAAGTAACTTTTCCCAAAGTGTTTTTATGAGAAATACTAATATCCCAAGAAGCTCCCCCCATATCCCCGGCCCCCCTTCTCCCAAAAAAGAGGGAGAATTTGGGGAAACTGGTTTATTGAATGAACTCCCACTCTGCCTCATCATTGTCCAATCTGGTTTGTCCAAAGAACCTCTTTCTTGTTTCTTCCTATTAATATCTATTACCATCGCATTACCATCTATTACTATTACATTCCATAAAACTTAAGGGGGAAAATACTGTTATACAGCAACAAATAATGAAAATATCAATTTCACTTGAATCTTAAAGTAAATCCACTCCTAATAGTTGTGGCTAGCATCTCCAAAAATAATTTTTTTTTCCAAAATTCTAATGCTATGTGTCTGGTTGGTGTGGCTCAGTGGATTAAGAGGTTCGGGGTTTAATTCCCAATCAGGGCACATACCTGGGTTTTGATCTCATGCAGGAGACAGCAGATCAGTGTCTCTCTCATCGATGTTTCTATCTCTCTCTCTCCCTTCCTCTCTATCTAAAAGTGAATAAAATATATTTTTAAAAACTCTAATTCTATGTAACAAAAGTGCCCATATTTATATCAAATAATTTTAATAACTTTTTAAAAGATGAAAGGTATTACTTAAACCAAGACAAGGTGGTTGTCCCTCTCTCTAAAATCAATAAAAACATAAAATAAAATAAAAAAAAGATCCTACATAAACAGCAGATGCCAGCATAATTGTGTATACTATGAGGAGGTGTATAAACTCAATTCAGACATAATCGTGTTGCATACTATAGCAAGAGAGGTTAAGAGTTGGTGGGATGGCCAAAACCGGTTTGGCTCAGTGGATAGAGCGTTGGCCTGTGGACTGAAGGGTCCCAGGTTCAGATTCCGGTCAAGCGCATGTACCTTGGTTGCAGGCACATCCCAGTGGGGGGTGTGCAGGAGGCAGCTGGTGGATGTTTCTCTCTCATCGATGTTTCTAACTCTCTATCCCTCTCCCTTCCTCTCTGTAAAAAATCAATAAAATACATATAAAAAAAAGTTGATGGGATGCTCCAGAAGGAAGTGTATATCACACCCTTTAGAGTGACAGAAAGACAGCCAAGGCTGTACACCTCTTCCAGGCTACTGTACTTCGGCCCAACACGGAGAGGCACAAAGAACTGTGAGCCGATTAATTAAGAGTCTTCTGCCCAACACCCACCCTGATAGGTAGAACACGTACACAACCAAAAACCAAACAAAAAACCCTCTTACCTTCTCTTTCTGCTCTGCTTCCGATTTTGGTCAATAATACAGACCATGTCAGAGGCTAAAATAGAATATTTTATGTAACACCTCTATGCCAGGGGGAAATTAAACTACTAACTCGCCACCCCTTTGTTTAGCAAACAGAACAGTATTCTAGTTGCCAAGGCAACAGCTACCTCACAGTTATCAGCACTGCTTATACAATTCTTTTTCTATTATAGTCACTCTGACCAAATGCCCTCACTGGCACCCAAAAACACTGCCTTCCCTGGGGACACTGAAAAGGAGAAGCGATTCTGAAATCCGAGGTGGGTGAATACTAATCCTTCAAGGAGCCAAAATGCCAAGGAAACATGTTAAGTGCCCAAATGAATCAACAGTCATCTCCATTGTGCCCTGGGCTTTCGCACACCGATACATTAAAGCCTTTAAGAAAGAGAATAGCTGAATCAATGCTCCGAGTGGCTGGCTAATGCTGACATTACCTAGGAAATATTCAGTTATTCAAGATCTGTGTTTTGTTTTGTTTTTTAAAGTAAAACATACTAGATGACATTTTATTGAGATCGTTTCTTAAAAAGAGTAAGCATTCAAGCCACTTACTAGGCGGTGCCAAAGCAGCCAGAGAATCAGAAAACAAAAGTACTAAATCTGATGCTAAAACCTCCAGTAAGTAAACGTTATTTAAACATACAGATAAATCTGCAAAGGCAACTTTTTGGGTACGGCAATCTCAAAGAGGCATGAAAACCCATAATGAGATAATCCGACCAGATGAATGAATGAAAACTACTCAGGTTGGCAGGGCTTCACACTCATTCACACACACACACACACACACACACACACACACACACACACCCCGGGCTCACGGTCTGTACCAGCTTCAGGGGCTAAATGCCACATCAGGACAGTGATCTGATCTGGAGAAGAGTGTGGTTTTCTGTACATAAATAAACAGGCTAGAGGTGGGTGCTCACCCAGAAAATCACTACCTATAATGGTTCGCCTAATCCAATGACAATCCTCTAGGCTTGGGAGCAAAATGTGCTTTTCCCTGAAAGAACCCCACCGGGCCGGCCGGCAGCAAAGGAGAAGCGAGGACAAGTATTTCCTAGAACCCTCACAACAGGAAGGGCTGAAAGGCTTGAAGATGAGAGTTCCTGGAATAAAGAAATCTGGTTTTCACCTTCTATTACACATTTCGTTTTAAAGGATTCCATTAAGACAAAAATGACAGGTTTCACTCTTAATCTGGAAATTACAACTTTCCCCCCAAACTTACAAATCTACTTTTAAGCTAAAAAACAAACAACCCTGGCCGGTTCTGCTCAGTGGACAGAGCAGCGGTTCTCAACCTGTGGGTCTCTCACTACCCTTTCACAGGGTGTCTAGACATCCTGCATATCAGATATTTACATTACGATTCATAACAGTAGCAAAATGACAGTTATGAGGTAGCGATGAAAATAATGTTATCGTTGAGGGTCACCACCACATGAGGAGCTGTATTAAAGGGTCGTGGCATTAGGAAGGTTGAGAACCACTGGGATAGAGCATCCATCAGCCTTCCAACTGAAGGGTCCCGGGTTTGATTCCAGTCAAGGGCACATGCCAGGGTTGCGGGCTCCATCCCCAGTGTGGGGCGTGCAGGAGGCAGCCAATCAATGATTCTCATCATTGATGTTTCTCTCTCTCTCTCCCTCTCCCTTCCTCTCTGAAATCAATAAAGATATATTTTTAAAAGAAACAAAGAATTAGAAATAAACACAAAACTAGTCACTATATATCACCTTGAAAGCCTAAATTCACAAGAGTTCGCACATTCTTTCCACAGAACAAATGACAATAACTCCAATGTACTGAGAACTTATTAGGTAGTAGATCCTGTTATTACATTTAGTCCCTCCCAACAGCCCCCTGAGGTAAGTCCTAAAACCATTCCTCATTTCAGACAAGAACACTAGCCTTCTTAGGAAGTTTGAGAAAACTACCCACAACCTGGTAAGCAGAGGAGTCCCAACTCAATTGCAAGCAATCTTAAAGAATCCTCATTCTATGGGTTTATAGCAGGAGCGACAAGCTTTTACCAGCACAATACAGCTAGCATGTACTGACTGCTCAGAACCAAGCACCGCATAAAACATTTTAAATGTTACTTCATTTGGCACTTACACAATCGTAAGGTAACTATTATCCCCATTCTACAAAAAAAAAATGAAACTGATGTCTGCTTTCATTCATGACCTTCTCCAAACTTTAACAGTAAGGAACAGAGAGAGTACTAGAAACAAGATCTCGCTCAAAAAAAAGATGGTTTTTATCCATTCAAGGATAATTTTTACTCTCAGTATATGAAGTGAATCTTTCCTTGACAGTTTATAATCTTCATTTTGGCTATAAATGACAAAACGAAAGTATGATTGTCAATTAAAGTTATTAATGACTACGCTTTCATAAGCAATTATGCTGCAATTTGATCAAATTAGGAGAAAGCAGTCTGTTACTTGTAAAAACCTTGACACACAGGACTTCTAATAACCTAGTTAAGTCACACTGCCAAAAATTCACCCATAAATTAGAAGATGGATTAAATAAGAGAACTCTGCATAAAGTCAGTATACATTCCACTGTGCAAGATACACTGTCAAGTGACACATTTTAATAATATAAAACTCTATACAGAATAAGTATCCTTTTCATTGATGGCTAAGTTTATACTTTAACAATGACAGATACACTATTTTCTGTAAGATCTTACTAACAAATCATAATCCTGGCCCAGAAGGTCAGCCCCCTGCCAACACCATGTTAAACTTAAACTGGAGAAACATTCACACCAGCTAAGTACATCCTTGCTACCAATGACCCCATTAGGCACGTCACTGACTGTGGAAAAGGTAAGAGCAAGCATAGACTAACTTTTTTTTTTTTTAAGGAATATTTAATATTAACATTGTGAGTTATTATCTTTTGCATATCAAAGTTACACATTTCAACACAAATCGTCATTTATATTTACAGTATACAAATGCAAAGCACTAATTTCCCACTAAAT